TTGAGTGCCCAGTCCGCTAATCTATATAAATCCGTCTGCAGTGAAGTAATATCTTGCTCACATTACCTCGTTTTGTGTCATCTGCAAGCACTGACACATGCCTTTCAATGCCTATTTCAAAATCATTTATAAATATGTTGAACAGAAGTGATCCTGAGGGACATCACTTACCACTTTTGTCTAGCTTGGAAATTTACCACTGACGACAACTCTTTGTACTCTATCTTTAAGCTAATGTTCCATCCAAGAACAAGATTTTTTTTTTTTTTTTAATCTAAACAAATTTCTTTTAATTTATACATTAACCTATTGTACAGAACTGTATCGAATGTGAACGGCATTGCTTATGCACATGTGGTGTCACGGTATGAATGGGTTTGAGACCAAGAAGTAATAATCCTGGCTCTCCCATTCAGAGGGCTTGGAGGCATGGCTTGAAGCTACACTTTCACAGAGGTTACAAACTTCCATTTTTAGGGAGTTAGGAAGAATCCAAGGAGATTTTGGGTAGAAATCTGATTTCCATAAGCCTGAGCAACTACTGAACCCCAGGGAAGTCACCCTCTTGCATCTGAAAGGTAGGAAACAGGAGGGTGACTAAAAATTTTTGTATATGTGTGTTTGTGTATGTGTGTCTGTATGAATGTTTCTCTGTATGTGTGTATATATGTATGTATGTATGTGTGTATGTCTGTCTGTGTCTTTATGTTGTGTTTGTATGTGTGTGTGTCTGTATGTATGTGTCTTTGTGTCTGTATGTGTGTTTGAATGTATGTGTGTGTGTGTGTGTGTCTGTGTGTGTATTGTCAGAATATTTATATCGGCAGACATTTTGTGCTAAGATAGAAATTAAAAGAGTCTACTGCCAGTCACACTTTAAACAGAGCGGACTCCATTTTGGATTTCAGGCAAGACAGACACAACATTTTGTTCCTTTCTGTAACTTTTAAGTCATGAGCTAAAGAATGCATTATGTAAACAAGGCAATGCAGTCTAACAGAGAAGGGGGGATGGAATACAACCCAAAGACAAGTAAATACATTATATATACATCTATACACTATACACTTATTTTACTATTATAGCAATTACATATAATCAGTATTATGTTAATAATATGGACCATTCATGGATAAATATTCATGAAGAAATATCATATTATTTAATAAATGTTAGTGGAATAGAAAAATAATGTCTCACAGCTTCACAAAAGGACAAGACACTAGAGAACCAGATAAGTTATAGATAACACTTACTAATTAATTTTACTTTCTAAATCTTACAAGGTCCCATTGTAAGAAATAGGATGAAATTAAGGTTAGGAGGTGTCAATTCTAGAATTACGATTTAAATTATAGACACAAAGTCTGGTGTGAGCCTTTGAAGCTGACAGCAAATTTGAGTTATAGTAGTCATTATAGATAAGCCAAATTACGTCAGAATCGTCATCAAAATGATGAGGACAAGACATTTTGGTGATGTAAGGGCGCCATCTATTGACCAAAAACTAGATAATACTAGATAAACTAGACACACATACAGTTTCCTATTCGTCAGATCAACTAATGACGTACAGAAAGTTTGTCCCTTTAAAAAGTAAGGACAAAGGAGAATTAAGGAGAGACTCGACAGACATTCAGAGAGATTCAGGACACTCTGGGACTAACACTCAACTCTCAAACTCTCTTGGACACAACTCAAGAAACACTTCCTTGACACTTAGAATTTTACTGTTACTTTCTAACCAACATCACTTTCTCTATTACATGCACACCTCCATACAATCATCAATCATACTTGCATTCAAATTCCTAGGACTATCTAATCATCTGATGAGAACATCTACAACATAACTGGTAATTATGCTGGTTTTATTAATTAATTTAAATTAATTAAAATTTTACAAATAGCAGGAATATATACCTGGATAAATCTTGGTTAGATTTCAATAATTAGAAATCTTAGTTAACTAAAGAATATATGCTTATAAACATTCCATTCTGCAGGTGGAATCAAGATAATTATATATATTAATGATATTATTATCACGTGTTAGCATACCGCTGTTTTTATCCAGATGTATTGATTTGCTCTGAAATAAGATTGTGTATCTATGGTAGATGATTCTTATTGGATGGTTCTAGGAATGGTTATGAACATTATTTTAATTGAAAATTGCATGAGAATAGGATATTAAATGCCTAGAGGGATTCTAGCCAGCAGTAAAAGGGTTACTGATAGCCAAGATTTTACGACTTCTAGCTGCGCTGTGTTCTGTGTCTATGAGATTGTTTACCTATCATAAATCTTCCTAAGTTCTTGACAGTTGGTTGTTTTTTTAGTCGCTGTATCTGTTTAAACATTGCCATATTGTATACCTATGTTATACTAAATATTCACTGATTATTATCACGCATGTTACATATTATTATTATTTTATTATTGTTGTCACAATAAATTATATTTTTATAAAATTTTTTGATTTATTGTATGGAGTAAAAATCCTCATAATGATTGTTCTCTAGGATCTAAAAGAATGAAATAGTGGGTAATTCTCAAGATCTCAATTTTGATATAATAAAAATTATTAAATTAAATTTTGATAATTTTTATGGAAATATTTTTAATATTTATAGCCCCATAATTATCCCCACAGTATGTGTGTCTGTGTGTGTATGTATGTGTGTTTGTGTCTGTATATGTGTGTCTTTGTCTTTGTATGTATGTATGTGTTTGTCTGTTTGTCTGTATGTGTGTGTATGTGTGTGTCTGCATGTGTGTGTTGGGCAACATATGGAAGTGGGACGGTAGACATATGGGGGGTAGCGTGAGATAAACATATGGGGGGTCCCAGGGCAGTTTTCGAACCGGGGGCCACGTGATTTCTAGTTATGCCTCTGCTCCCATTGCTCAACACCTTAGGGCATATCATTGAAATTCATCTTGCGATATAAGAGTTGTGGGGATTGAACGTGTTCTGTTATGTCAAAAAGGGTGGTGACCTTAATTTGGCTTAGAGGCAGAGAGAATGCTATCAAATTCATGAACTGAACTCGCTAGCAACTTTGGGTCTCAATGAGGGATTTACTTTTACTCCATTTATTGGCCATTAATCCTTTGGAAATATATTTATTGGGATAAATCTTTCTTGGTTGTCACCTTGTATATAGTGTAAATAGCTTTTTGATCAGGGATATTTTTGTGCACATATTTTGCCAGTTCTTTATTAAAGTAACTTTGGGGGTTTAAAACACAATTAGAGTGGACCTTATCCTAAGCATGTGGCAAAATGGTGCTATTAACTTAACAACACAAGGCACTGGATACATTGGGGAGACCTATGAACGATGTTATCAAATCTCAACCTTAGACTTAGCCGAAGGCTGGTCTAGTACAGGGATAGGCAACCTTCGGCACTCCACATGCTGTGGACTACATCCCCCATAATACTCTTTCACCCATAATGCTGGCAAAGCATCATGGGTGGTGTAGTCCAAAACATCTGCAGTGCCGAAGGTTGCCTGCGCCTGGTCTAGTACATATGTTCATCACATGGAAATGTCCTCCCTATATAGACCTTTTGTCTATCTTTGGGTTTATTTCACCAACTCATGTGTGGTGGTTTCATACATAGTTTAGGTTTCTATTATCAGTCTATTTGAGGTTGAGATTACAACTATTTGTCATACATTACTTACTAATTATATATGATGAATCTTGTAGTGTTCCCGATGAGGTAATGGTACGATTGACAAGTACAACACTTAATATTGGCCCACTATTTTGGAGGCTTGGTATATACACCTTTTAGTGCAGGGAAATGTAATCACACTGAAGCAATAATCACTTAAAATTGACTACTTAAATGAACTATCCTACCCTTATGACCTATGTATGGTTAGTGGGGTAATAATTGGGACAATCTTCGCCTTGAATAATGAAGTAGCCAGGACTTATTATTTATTTGTATAACGTGAATGTATTCATTTGCTGTTTTCGAGGTGTTCTGCATACTGTAATTGATTGCACATGTAGTTAGATCTATATTCACTTGGTATCTCATGGCTGTTTAATGTATACAGGTTTGGGGCACCTATTGGAAATGTGCAATAAATGAAATATGACCTTTGGTGGATCTCACAGTATATCCTAGGGTGGGCTGCTAAATGTTCTTCTTCTATATACTGAAGTCTATATTGCAACATTAACTGGTTAGTTTATTTGGTTCTACTGGGAATTCTAAACAGTGTATTGTGTTTAAATCTACAGGCAATTTTTACTTTTCAAGGGAGCAATTTCAGTGAATGCGCCCTGTTACATCCATGTTGGAACAATAGCATTGAGGCACATTAAATGGATATAGCCCCCCAATCCACCTTGTAGTTTTTTTATGGGTTGTTCATATATGTCTTATCGTTTTAAAAACTATATAAGTCCCATTGTATTTGGTAACTAATAAAGTAAGTTTTTTTTCGTTTTTTTCATTATTATTTCTATAATTTTGTAGGAACTTGCTTTTTTGGAGGGTTATTGAACTTTGTAATACTTGAAGCCACACATTCAAGCCTTCAGACAATTGATATAGATGTCATTGAACAACATGAGATGGGGAAACGATTTAAGGCACTATTACAGCTTTATTAAGATGAAGTTGTTATAGTGCCTACAGTGTAACTTTAACTTTCATTAATTGCTGCAGTACCTTGTCTTGAGTTATTCAGTCAATTTTTTTCTGTACATTTTTTGCAGCAATGGTTATCAAGATTCCTCCTTGATATATAGTGAAGGGAAAAAAAATATTATTTAAAGGGATACTATAGTGCCAGGAATACAATGCTGTATTCCTAGCACTATAGCTCCCATTGCCTCCCCTCTACCTCGCACTCCTCCACCCCCCTTTCTTGGCTTACTTTCCTACTAAACTAAACAATAAGACAGCAATACTGAGACCAAATAAGTTTAATTAAAAAAAAATAATAATTTTCTTAATTTATTCCACCATGAATCGGTTTGCAATCCATTCTGCAACATGCAGAGCTTGCAATTCACCGGTATAGCAGCAGTCTACGCGTTTCATAGTTCAGCACTTTAATGAGACTTGCAGAATGGATTTTAAACCCATATATTGGAAATAAACAAAGACAGTAATTTTTTAATACTTATTTGGTTTCAGAACAACCACTAGTTGCTGCAATCAAGAGATGGGGATCATTCACATTTAAAGGTATCAATAAGAACGCAGTAATGGCAATTTGATGAAATGTTTCCATAACATTTTGTAAAGTTGATTAGACAGCTAGCTATCAAGCGGGTTGTTCCATTGATTTCAAACATTACATTCCTGTTAAGCCACATGTAATGTGTAAGCTTTCCTTATCGAATTTGGAATTTTATAATTGTATGTTTTAGTATAGCCCATTTACATCATTTGCTTTAGTTTTTTTTTTTCTTCCAAAAGACATCATATTGTGATCACTATTTCTAAAATGCTTCCCTAATTGATTGTTTGATGAGAAAAGATCAACATTGTTAGTTATAACCAGATCCAGACAGGTGCTTCTATGAATTGTTCAATACTTGTTTCCTCCAGCTGAACTACTTTTCCCTCTATCCCATTTTATATCTGGATAATTAAAATTTCTACAGTGAGTGCAGAATTATTAGGCAAGTTGTATTTTTGAGGATTAATTTTATTATTGAACAACAACCATGTTCTCAATGAACCCAAAAAACTCATTAATATCAAAGCTGAATATTTTTGGAAGTAGTTTTTAGTTTGTTTTTAGTTATAGCTATGTTAGGGGGATATCTGTGTGTGCAGGTGACTATTACTGTGCATAATTATTAGGCAACTTAACAAAAAACAAATATATACCCATTTCAATTATTTATTATTACCAGTGAAACCAATATAACATCTCAACATTCACAAATATACATTTCTGACATTCAAAAACAAAACAAAAACAAATCAGTGACCAATATAGCCACCTTTCTTTGCAAGGACACTCAAAAGCCTGCCATCCATGGATTCTGTCAGTGTTTTGATCTGTTCACCATCAACATTGCGTGCAGCAGCAACCACAGCCTCCCAGACACTGTTCAGAGAGGTGTACTGTTTTCCCTCCTTGTAAATCTCACATTTGATGATGGACCACAGGTTCTCAATGGGGTTCAGATCAGGTGAACAAGGAGGCCATGTCATTAGATTTTCTTCTTTTATACCCTTTCTTGCCAGCCACGCTGTGGAGTACTTGGACGCGTGTGATGGAGCATTGTCCTGCATGAAAATCATGTTTTTCTTGAAGGATGCAGACTTCTTCCTGTACCACTGCTTGAAGAAGGTGTCTTCCAGGAACTGGCAGTAGGACTGGGAGTTGAGCTTGACTCCATCCTCAACCCGAAAAGGCCCCACAAGCTCATCTTTGATGATACCAGCCCAAACCAGTACTCCACCTCCACCTTGCTGGCGTCTGAGTCGGACTGGAGCTCTCTGCCCTTTACCAATCCAGCCACGGGCCCATCCATCTGGCCCATCAAGACTCACTCTCATTTCATCAGTCCATAAAACCTTAGAAAAATCAGTCTTGAGATATTTCTTGGCCCAGTCTTGACGTTTCAGCTTGTGTGTCTTGTTCAGTGGTGGTCGTCTTTCAGCCTTTCTTACCTTGGCCATGTCTCTGAGTATTGCACACCTTGTGCTTTTGGGCACTCCAGTGATGTTGCAGCTCTGAAATATGGCCAAACTGGTGGCAAGTGGCATCGTGGCAGCTGCACGCTTGACTTTTCTCAGTTCATGGGCAGTTATTTTGCGCCTTGGTTTTTCCACACGCTTCTTGCGACCCTGTTGACTATTTTGAATGAAACGCTTGATTGTTCGATGATCACGCTTCAGAAGCTTTGCAATTTTAAGAGTGCTGCATCCCTCTGCAAGATATCTCACTATTTTTGACTTTTCTGAGCCTGTCAAGTCCTTCTTTTGACCCATTTTGCCAAAGGAAAGGAAGTTGCCTAATAATTATGCACACCTGATATAGGGTGTTGATGTCATTAGACCACACCCCTTCTCATTACAGAGATGCACATCACCTAATATGCTTAATTGGTAGTAGGCTTTCGAGCCTATACAGCTTGGAGTAAGACAACATGCATAAAGAGGATGATGTGGTCAAAATACTCATTTGCATAATAATTCTGCACTCCCTGTATAATTGGTACATTTTATTGGTATAGGTATTATTAGGCTGGTGCCTGGATGATTACCTGGGTAACATTTCCAATTAATGAGCATCCGCTAACATAGTATAGGGACCCAATTTTGGTTCTACCTCAAGCATAAAGAAACACTGAACTAGACTCTCCAAACCACGGCAAACCATGTCATCTTTGCTGAACCAGACATCTATTTTTTGTGTGTTCATTTTTTACGTACAAAATAAGATTACATTTGAGACTCTTTAACTAACTATATTTCACAGTTTCAACCTTTAACCAAATGTATATCTGTTAATACAGTTATTAAAAAAGAAATTACAGGAATGACATTTTCCACTTGTCAGAAAAAGGTCTTATTTTTTATGATTAGAAAAAGCTTCTCACATTCAAAAAAGCCATTAATACCAAAATATCAAAAAATTGATTTTGCATAAGGTCCCTGTGGCAGGTTGTACTCAGGATAGAATACTAGACCAGTGAAGGAGAGGATAGCTCTAAATAGAGATATGTCTAGTCCCTGTGGCAAGACACTTTAAGACTGAAAGACAGTGTTCAACAACTCAGATTTCAGATTATCGGTGGAGGGCCACCTCTTTGGAGAAGAGGAACAGACAAATCATTTTGAAACAGAAGGAGACTAAGTAGATTAGTGCTGTATAGACACTGTATCCAGAAGATCTCACTTAGGACTTTGATCTGTAAGTCTGGTGTGGGTACTTTGTTGGCCCTCTAACCATGTACATTAGAGTCCTAATAATGATGTGGTTATGGTCAACACAGTACATTCTTTATTAAACATAATAAATATTAAGACATTTTTCTGATACGTGAAGTGCGGTGTCATTCTTGTAATTTTATTTGTATATCTACTTGGGGGAATTAGACGAGGGGTTGATCCTCACACCAGCACCCTGACACTAAAGACAGTTGAGTGCCAGCATTAGCATAAATATTGATGTAAAACGGTGGATGTAGGGAAGCAGCGCTTAACAATTAAAATCCTTGTGTGGACTCCAATGGAGCCAATATAAGGGAGAAAACAAAATGGGACAGGAATACTAATATAGTGTAGTATGTCTATAACAGCAGGGGCAGAATATAAGGAAAAAATATATTGCTCTCACACTTTTCTGGAGCTCAAGATCAGCTCCAGATCAAAGCGTATTTACAGTACAATCCCCGCCTGTGGATGTTAGGATGGTCTTGATTTCCTCTGGCATCGTATCCGTGTGCCAATAATCCACGTGGTGTATTCCAGATGATGCTCCAGTGATATATATAGGATATAAAAGAACAGGAATAGTGTTTGTAACGGATCACCTGGCACCCCGACTGGGTACCCCCGTTTAAGGATGCTCCTAGCGCTTCCTGAGGGCTCCAAGCACTCCAGCAGACACCTCCAGGCACTGGATGACACTCAGTCCTGGGAACTCTGGAACCGAATGGGGAATTAGCTCTAGTCCTTACAAGGACTTTCCCCGGTGAATCTCCTGCAAGCTGGAACAGCAGACATAGGAGCAAAGCTTCTTCCATCCAATAACAGGACAACACACAGTTTTGGAGTGTAAACAGGAACAGACAGAGCTGTGGCTTTATTGTTTCTTACATACACATTTTTACACAATGTTACCACCCACATGATTTTGTAGCACAGCCAATCAAATATGTATAATACAGTTAAACACTCCCATTCATTCCCACAAAATCCTCACCTCTGCCTGTGATATAATTGCTGAACACAGTGGGCAGATGTAATTATCACAGGCAGGAAAATACAGTTTTTATACAATTCTTATAACTTCTAAAATATACACATATCCAAATATCAGACAATTCCCTTCAGTGGTTAAAAAGTTAGTTGGAAGTCATTTTTGACCGACTGCAAGCATGGCTTTCCTGCCCAAAACTGTTCCACAGATTCAGGCTATGCAGCCGGTTGATCTGCTCCTTTATCCTGGAGATAATTGGCTTAAGTAACTGTAGCAAACTCAGTTATCTCCAGGTACAGGAAATATCACTAAGTCACAACTGCAACAAAACACATTAAAATACATAACTAATATTCTATAGAACTGAACCCCCAGATAGCTTGGATCTGAGCGCTCACTATAGCCCAACAGCACTCAGATCCCACGGGGTTAAATTATAGCAAGGGCTAATGAGAGACCGAGGAGGGACAAAGCAGCCAGTTCCAACTGGTCTGGCAGTGTCCCTGGTGGAGAACAAAGGGACAGGAAAAGGGAGAGGGGAAGAGGCACACCTTCCCATGGATTCAAAGGGGGAGAAAAAGTGTCCCAAAACCTAATAAGCCCAAATAATCATTTTCAAAGGGCAATACCCCCAGGGACCATAGTCCTGGGGGTAAGAGGATGGCAAACAGGCCCCTCCAAAAACCAGTGGCGAGGTTACTTTCGCCACAGTGTTCTCTGTATTAATAAAACAAAATTTAAAAAAATATGCTCGCAATGGATGAGCAAATAGGGATTGCTCAGTCCCTTACAGCATAGGTTGTTTGTCCCCCACCCGGGAATGTGAGATACAGCTTCTCCAATAAAAGATATCCAATGAAGGTTCATGGGTACAAAGTAGATTAATCTTATTAAACAAATAAAAAGTAAGTTACACACTAACGCGTTTCACGTATACAGAAGGCTCTTTCCTTATATTCTGCCTCTGCTGTCATAGACATACTACGCTATATTAGTATTCCTGTCCCATTTTGTTTTCTCCCTTATATTGGCTCCATTGGAACCCACACAAGGAGTTCAATTGTTAAGTACTGCTTCCCTACATCCCCCGTTTTACTTGCATCAACGACCAGAAAGAAGAGACTCTGGTTTGGGAAAGTTTTAGCTGCTGCACACATAAAGAACAAGCACCAGAAATCTCACTTGCTGCTTTATCTATAAATATTGATGTATGTGTATATATACATATATCACAGTTACTCATATACTGTAAGCAACTAATGTTTGACTTTTGCTTTTGCAGGGTTCAGCTGATTCCTATACAAGCCGCCCATCGTTAGACTCCGACGTGTCCCTGGAGGAGGATCGGGAGACTGCCCGCCGCGAGGTGGAGAGGCAGGCCCAGGAACAGCTCGAGAGAGCCAGGGTAACTTATTTTGAGTATATAACCATCCAACAATGGCTTTGATAAAATTAGAGCCGAACATGTTTATCAGCGCCAAATAAGATTTAGGTCAATTAAATTACAGTTGTTAAAAGCTTATTAGGAGCCCATAAAAATAGGTTTAAATATATTAGTATTATTATTTATACAACGCCATCATATTCCGTAGCACTGTACAATGGGTGGACTAACAGACATGTAATTGTAACCAGACAACTGGACATACAGAAACAGAGGGGGTGGAGGGCCCTTCTCAATGAACTTACATTCTAGAGGGACTGGGGTATAGTGACACAAAGGCTAAAAGTAGGGGGACAAAGTAGGTTGTTAGAAAAGTATTCACTGAGCTCTTAGTAGGTAATTTTTGACAGTTGCAAGAGAGGAGTCATGGGGAATGGGGGATAAAAACCTGCTAACAGTTTAATTGATATGTTTTCTTGAAGAAGTGAGTTTTCAATGATTTTTTGAATGAGTGGAGACTGAGTGAAAGTCTTACGGAGAAGGGACGGGAGTTCCACAGAAGAGGTGCAGCCCTGGAGAAATCTTGGAGGCGAGCATCAGAGGTGGAAGTATGGACAGAGGATAGACATAGGTCTTTGGCAGAGCGCAGGGGCCTCTACGGGACATACTTGTGCATCAGGGAGGATAGGTATGTTGGAGCAGCATTATGTAGGGACTTGTAAGAATCCGATACCTATATTTTACACTGGAAATATCGGGTTTGGTGAATCTATTGCATTTATCAGGGCAAGGGGCATTTCTGGATTTATAAAATACAAAGGGCTTGAGCTCAAAAGAAAATTTGGTAAACCATCCTCAAAGCCCCACTCCTAGCCCATCACAAATTTCACTCCTTAACAACTACAATGTATGACTTCCAACACACTCACAGATGTATATATAAAGACATAGATACACAGGCATGCATGCATACATACATGCATACATACATTTAGAGGGGAAGTGACAACTTGACTGGGGGGTCTGGGCGGGCAAGTGACAGATACGTTTCAACAAAGATAAATGTATTTTGGACTAAGAAACCCAAAGTTGCTGTCATGTATAAAAAGGGGTATTGGTTCAGGTGAGCAATACTGCATTTGCCTTCATTAGACTTCTAAGAGGAGATATGATAGAACTAAAAATATATATACATGTTCAGTACAAACTGCTAGGTGTTAACCTGTTTGTTAGCAAGAATATACAACAGACAAGTGGTCATCCACTGAGACTGAAAGAAAAGTGTTTTTACAGTAATAACGGTAAACATGTGAAATTCTCTAGAAAACAAGAAAAAACTGATTTGCGCCAAGTATAAATCGAAATAAGTATGGATGTATATGTATATATATATGTGTTAGGGGCAACATTGATTGTGAAGTAAGACTGTTGTTAGCAAACCTGTGATAGGAAAAAGTCGGTTGAGGTGTGCCAAAACTGATGTATGCTGTAGGCCAGTAAATAAAGTGGGCCTACACAAGAAGAGTATGGTGAATAAAGGGAGTGGAGGGTGTGGCAGCAGCTCGTCAGACCAATCACGGTAGGCTAGGGAAGTGGGGAGTCCCTTTTAAAGGTCCATAAGCCCCTCCCACAACTTCAGGCCAAGCCTTCCAATTTGTGTTCGGGGCAACATTGATTACGATACGAAGTAAGATTGTTGTTAGCAAACCTGTGATAGGAAAAATTCGGTTGAGGTGTGCCGAAACCGACGTATGGTGTAGGCCAGTAAATAAAGTGGGAAAAAAGGAATACATTTCATGCTCAAAATAAATTTATTGAATAAAGAACATAATGCAACGTAAGTACATTAAGATGACATTTTAACAAATGCCCTTCGTATTTCTTGTATTGGTTGGGGTATGTATGTTGTATATGCTGTTGACTTTCAGTGACCTAGAGTTTTAATGACATGGACTGGAATGTGCTGGCTCGATGCCGTAGATGCTGTACCTATCCTAAACGATTGTCCTGAATAAAGGCAAGGGTTCATACCGAGCCTTGTTAACCATAACGTATAACATGAACTTAGAGATAGTGAGGATAGTCCCATGAAGTGACAGTAGCGGAAGAGATACGATATTCGGTACGGTGAGGAGGTAGGAATCGAAAACCATCACCGGCACCTTATATTATTTGTGGGATATTATGGAATTTGGATGGGCTGATCCAGTTGACTCGTTTTGGTCACGGGTAGAGTCAGTATGTAATGATCTTGTTGTGTAATTAAGTAGGAGCTTCGAAGCCAACTTGCGTTGTGCGTTGTGTTGGCTACTGATGGTGAATTCTCGTGGCCTCAGGAAGCCTTAAAGAGCCAGGTAAATAGCGGTTTCAGAGTTAGTGAGAAGTTTGAAAAGGGCTGAGTCGAGCAAATTTGACATATTTTGGATACCCTTAGGTATAGTCTGATTGGAAAGGATGAAAGGAAACTGGCTTTGTTGGAAAGTAAAGAAACATGGGATGTTGGATGCCAGTCAGGCGTAACGTGATGGTATAGTGAGATAGCCTACACTGAAGGTGGCAAAAAAAGTAGCGAACACAACCAGAGACATAATAACCAACATTATGTAATGAAAGACCACTTACCTGTGATGTGAATAGTAATGGAAAGACTTGGTGACAGCAATTGCTGGGAGACCACTAAGGGCACAACTTGAAATACCTTAGAACCTGGAGGAGTAATACCGTGTACATTGAAATAGCGAAATCTGCCAGACAGGTAAGCCCTACGAAGGCTAAGGAAATAGTTGAAAACATGTAAGTGACAAACAATATATACCTTGCCATCAATTAAGGGGTAACACGAGCCACTTAGACTAATCCAGGTGGCATGAATATGAAAATACCAGCATATGACGTCAAACTTAAATTAATAGCATTAAGGAATATAGCAACATTCTAATAATGCAGAAACTCTGGAAAGCAATTGAATTGTGAACCTGTCACATGTATAAGCCACTGTTGCCTGAAAATAATGGGATAGCCCGGAGACAGATGAACGTAGTGATGAACGTAGATAATTGATTAATATAGCGAGGGCCAAGTTGACAAACCAACTTATATAGGGGAAATAATAGTAGAAAGGGTTGAGAACTGGAAAAGTATTAATACTGAAGAAAACCTAAAAATTTGCATAGGTAACTCGTATCAGTATTAACAAGAATAAACGATGAAAAGTATCTACAAGAACCATAACGGTGGATAATTCAAGCTAGCAAGTGTATGAGACGCCAACCAACAACCTGCAATTAGTATAACTAAACCAAAGTAAACCTTTCTTAGCTGATGAGTCCCATGAGGGTTGTAGTTAATGTAAGTACAATGAATGTATATACAAGTTAGTTTATATTTGTGAACCATATGTTGACATGATTGATCCAGTCAATAGCGACACTTAGCCATGTGGGGGCCAAGATTTATAATAGAAGTCGATATGTTCCAGTAAGGGGCCTTATACCGGAAGCTGAAGGCATCGCTGTGAACCTACATATTAATGAAATGCTGAATATGATTGTATTGAAATTCGCCTTGAAAGAACAAACATACAGTTAGTAGAAACCGATTAAATCAGCCATGGAAGGCCCGCCATGGCAACTTCTATGAGTACGAGGTAGGGCCAGCTCAACTTAAAGATGACATATTTTATGCTTGATAGGTGTGGCATCACAACGTATCTATATCCTAATTCACCTATTAGTGTAAAAACTTTCAGACAGAAAATCGGATAGCATGACAGAAAGTCAATATCCAATTGGATATCTGAATGTACAGGCGCACGTGCTCAATATTGAATTGTGTTATGATCATATGCGTACGGAGGACCGTGCGAGGGTCAGCGTCCAGTTGGGTTTTAATTGAGGTAGGGAGTTCTGTTATTGGCAAAAAAAACAACGAAAAACCAATAGTGCAACCCAGTATGTTCAATATCTCAATTATGTGAAGAAAAAGAATACACTCACAAGACCTCCAGTCAGCTCTTAGATAAGGATGAAACTAAAATTGTTCTCTTTGAGTGTTCACAGTGGAAGCGGCATATGAAAGAATAAAAACAGAATATAGTTGTAGCGGAGATGCAATATTCCCCAGGTTATCTCCGCTTATGATCCAAGTGAGGCTCAGGAACAAGTAAATAATAAATCCACAGGCAAGGTTTCCAGCAGGTAAAATAACAGCAATATCCCCACAGCAATCCCAATAACTGGACGACACACAGTTTCAGGAGCAGAACTGAAAGCTTTAATCCACAGTGGCCTTTTAAAGCATGCTCCCATGCAAGGGAGGGATTTACACTCATTAGTACAGTAGCCAATCCTGTCCTGGTAACCTCCCACACATCTCCTCCCCTCAGCCAGCATCATAATCCCCTTATCCAGTCTAGCAATTCCCCCCGTTTCTGGATGTACCCCTAAACGTAGGGGTACCCCTTTAAATCCTACATCCCCTGATAGCCCTGATCTGGGTGAACAACATATCCAAAAATCACCCAGATCAGACCAGGGGTTCGGGAAATTTATGGAGGGAATAAAATGACCGACCGCACTGACTGAAATAGCCGAATACAGTTCCATGCGAATGGGCCCTGCGGTCGGTCCTGGAATAAGGGAACAAACTGCACGAAAGCCTCTAGCTATAGAGGCTAGGGAGGGTTCGCCTGAATCCCCTCGTTCGGTTCTTTCTATCTATCTATCTATCTAACGAGGGGCCGTTCGGTAGTTTGGAACCGAACGGACCGGGCTTGTGGAGGTTTCAGCGGTGTTCACCTAGTCGAGTGTCCGATTTGAGTTCCAGACACTCGACGGCAAAACACCACTGTTCGGGAGTTTTAAAATGTTCGTTTGTCGAATGGCGGCCACCCCCGAGAACAAAAGACGGCTACTTAACTTGTCAATTACCCGTTCGCAACAATGTTGCAACGGGTGATTGAGGACACACTTAACACAGGGGAGGTCTGATTGTTCGGTAGTTTCATGCCCTTAGTTTATTCAAATGATTCTACCGAACAATCAGAGGAATACAATTCTTTTAAAACACATAGAAAACTAGCAGAACACACGAATGCAGTTATTTCAAAGACATGTGCAGGACAGCCCAGTGCCATCCGCTACAATAGTGCTTACTGTTTCAAACCAATAAAAGTGTGTGGAAAAGTATGAAAATTACTCACAATTTTAAGAGCACCTTATGCTCAATAATATCAGCTTAGGTGGAATGGTCCCCACCGATATATATGAGTAGATGTAGATCTTGTGATGGTACCTGGAGAGGCTCCTTTAAGATGATAAAATAAATGCAAGATAAAAAATATTTGGAAAAAAAATTTGAGGGTAAAACCAATATTTTTTGTAATGTACCACACAAATGAAATAAAAGCAAATTTAAAAGTTCTTCTGAATAATCACAACCAGTTTTGCCCTTGGGCTTTCTCAGGTGATCAAAAATCAAGTGATAATAAAGTATTTCTAAGTTATTTCTATCACTATTTGGATTTACTTTACACATACATATATATATATTGTTTTCCCTTGGATTGTTAGGGTATCCAATTAACAGCATCTGCTGCCATTTGAGTGCGCTCTGTATCTCTTTGTTAATGTGAAATTCTCTGCCCAAGAAGAGGCTAGCGCTCTAGTAGAGTAAGCCCGAAGACCCAACAGGATAGGAACTCCAGATGCTTGGTAAGCCTGGGAAATAGCTGACACAATCCAACGCCCCATGGAAGAGGTGGAAGCTGCTTGTCCCAGCTTGTGACCTGATGGAATAACAAAAAGTCTGGAGGATTTCCTGATAGCAGAAGTACGTTGTACGTAAGAAGATAAACAATGCATTAAATCCAGGCAATGCAATTTTGCCTCTGTTTCTGTTGCAGGATTAGAAAAAAAAGGCAGGAAGCACAATGTCTTGATTTACGTGGAAGGAAGAAACGACTTTAGGACGAAAGGCCGGAACCATCCTTAACTCTATCGTCTTGAAAAATCAGAAAAGTAGGCTCACATGAGAGTGCTTGAAGCTCCGAATTCCTTCGCCCTGAAGTAAGGGCCACTAAAAGAACTGTTTTTAAAGTCAATGTAGCCATCGAAATCTTTTCCAGGGGTTCAAAGGGAGGCATAGATAGAGCCTGAAGAACCAGAGGCAGATCCCAGGGTGGAGAAGAGGATTTAATTGAGGGACGAATCTTCAGAACTGCTTGGAAAAATCTGCTAATATCCGGATCGAAGGCCAGCTTTGTGTCTAGAAGAATTGAAAGAGCGGAAATCTGGGCTCTTAAAGAACTCACACTTAAACCTTTAGCAAATCCATCTTGTAGGAACTGCAGAATGTTGCCCATACTTGGGGTTTCAAAGGGAACCTCATGACAAGTACACCATTCACTGAAAATGCCCCATATCCAATGATAAGCAGATGAAGTGGACTTCTTTCTCGCTTTCAGAAGGGTATCCGTGACCGAGGCCGAAAACCCCTTACCTAACAGTTGTTGCCTCTCAATTTCCATGCCATCAATTTCAACAATTGGAGTGTAGGATGGAATACCTAGGAGCTGAGGATGGCCTGATAGATACAAAGAAGGTTCCTGAGATAGCTTCTGCAGAAGCGGAAACCGAGGACGTCTTGGCCAAAGCAGAATGATGGCAATGACGGTCACTGGCTCTCACTGAATCCTCTTTAATAGAGGAAAAATCAGAGGAGTTGGAGGAAACACATATATCCCTGGAAGAACCTCCATCCCTGTCTTCCGCCAAAGGGTCGAAGAACCGCAAATAGAACCTTGTCACTTTCTTGTTCAGGTGAGTAGTCATGAGGTCCACTTGAGGGAGTCTCCACTGTAGAGCGATACTGTGGAAAACCTCTGCAGAGAGAGACCATTCTGTTGGATCCAGGGAAACTCTGCTTAGGAAATCTGCAACTTGATTCATCTTCCCTGGAAGATAAACTGCCTTCACTCCTTCCAGGTTCAATTCTGCCCAGGCCATAAGGGTGGGAAAGAATCTGCAATAAAACCTATGTCCATGTGAGTGGACAGGAAAAAAAGACTGGGGACTGAGGGGAAGGATCCCTCTTTTATTTGTTTAATTAGGTGTTCCTGTCCAATCTGACTCCCCATCTGTAGTGCTGCCATAGCTATGTCCGGGAAATATAAATATAAACTCAGTCTTTGTATGGATAATGGCCAAGATAGAAAATGCCTGGCACAATTCAAGAATTGTTTGTATAATATAAATTGCTAAACATCATTTTTGTGTATGTACGGACTATTGATATACAGTCATGGGAAATAGAAAGTACACCATCTTTGATTTCTGTGGTTTTACATATCAGGACATAAAAATGATCACCTGTTCTTTAGCAGGTCTTAGAATTAGGTAAATACAACCTCAAATGAACATTCCTACATGACATATTACACTGTGCCATGATTTAATTAACAAAAATAAAGCCAAAATGGAGAAGCCATGTGTAAAAAACTAAGTACACTCTTACTGCTTTTTTTATACGAAATAAGAGGCTAAGTAGCAGACAGGTGCTGCTAATCAAATGCCCTCAATTAACTGATCATCAGCAAGTGTGACCTCTATAAAATCTGTATCTTAAAGAAGCAATTGTTGCTACTAATCAAAATGGGAAGGGGTTATAAGGCCATTTCCAAACATTGTATAGTCCCTCATTCTACAGTGAGAAAGATTATTCAAAAGTGAAAAACATTCAAGACAGTTGCCAATCTTCCCAGGAATAGACATTCCCAACAAATTCAACCAAGGTCTCTCTGGAAAATTGCAACAAAAAAACCAAGAGTTAAATCTCAGGCTCTAAAGGTCACAGTTAGCATCTTAAATGTTAAATTTCATGACAGTACAAATAGAAAAAGACTGAACAATTTTAATTTGTTTGGAAGGGTTGCCAGGAGAAAGCCACTTCTCTGTAAAAAGAACATGGCAGCATGGCTTAGGTTTGCAAAGTTGCATCTGAACAAACCAAACGTCTTCTGGCACTTTGTCCTTTTAATAGACAAAACCAAAGTCGAGATGTTTGGCCATAATGCACAGTGCCATGTTTGGCAAAAACCAAACACTGCATATCAGCATAAACACCTTGTACCAACCGCCAAGCACAGTGGTGGAGGGGTGATGGTTTGGGCTTGTTTTCCAGCCTCAGGACCTAAAAACCTTGCAGTCATTGAATCAACCAAGAACTCCTCTGCATACCTAAGTATTATAGAGTCAAATGTGAGGCCATCTGACCGACAGCTAAAGCTTGGCCGAAACTGGGTCATGCAACAGGACAATGATCCCAAGCACACCAGCATATCTACAACAGAATGGCTGAAAAAGAAAAGGATTAAGATGTTGCAATGGCTGAGTCAAAGTCCAGAGCCCAACCTGATTAAAATGCTATGATGGGACCTTAAGAAAGTGCATGAACAAATACCAGCAAACCTCAATTAACTGAAGCAACGTTGTAAAGAAGAGTGGGACAAAATTCCTCCACAACAATGTGAGAGACTGATAGTCATACAGAAAATTATTACTTCAAGTTATTGCTGCTAAAGGTGATTCTACAATCGGTTGAATCATAAGGTGGACTTAGTTTTTCACACATGGCATCTCCATTTTGGCTTTATTTTTGTTAAATTATAACACTGTGTAATATGTTATGTGTTGTTGATCATCTGAGATTGTATTTACCTGCTAAGGAACAGATTATTGTTATTATGTCCTGATATGTAAAACTATAGAATTCAAAGAGGGTGTACTTTCTTTTTCCCATGACTGTACATGCATTGCAGGGTCATCTTCTGAATGGAAAGTCAAAGACGGCTGTGTCTTTGTGAGGATTTGAGATTAAAGAGGTTTAAAGGGACTCTCCAGTGTCAGAAAAACAAACCAGTTTTCCTGGCACTGCAAGATTCTGCAGTGCCCCCCTCCCGCCCCCATCCCATGTTGTTAAAACCCCTTCAGCTACTTACCTGAATCCAGCGCCGATGTCCCTCAGTGTTGGTTCAGGCTCCGCCTACGCTCTGGCGGGGGATACTAAGTGCAATAGGGGCACATCACTTAGATCACTTCAATTAGCTGAAGTGGTCTGGGTGCCTGGAGTGCCCCTTTAAGCACAGAATCAGATCTGTGACTTTATTATTGGGTCAGTGTCACCCACAGCTGAAGAGTAACTGGATTATACCTATAATTTAAATGGTAGAAGACAACTGTACATTTAAAAGTGGTGAAATGTGTATATTGTCTGGTATCCAGGATAAACAAATCGTTGTACTGCACTCCCCATCTTTATGAAATGATCAAACTTTGCTTTTTTTCCCCACAGCTTAAGCCAGTAGCATTTGCTGTACGGACCAATGTCAGTTACTGTGGAGCACTGGACGAAGAGTGCCCTGTTCAGGGATGTGCCATTAACTTTGAAGCCAAAGATTTTCTACACATTAAAGAGGTGAAAGCAAACAGTAATGTAATACTGCACTCAATATCTTTTCATGATTTGTATTGTTTTTTAATCGTATCTAACATCCTTTCCCCTCTTGAGCTATTACCTTTAAATACAGCAATACATGTGTTGTATTTATTTTCTTTTTAGATTGTGTTTAGATATTATTATCCCTTATAAGGACATATAAACACACTCCACTTTTAATGTGTTATATATACATATATTGGCTCACAAATAGGTATACAGAATAGTTTATTTACAAATGTCTTCCATTACCGTTGCAACATTCCAATATTCTTTCCAACTGCCACACTGATATTTAAATGCCTGAAATGTAACTCAATTTTTTTGTGTCATTGTGTATGTGAACCCATATAATCTGTTGTGATGAGTTTGACTGATTCGACTGTATACCTTCTTTTGGGCCAGCCTGTAGATAGATAGGTAGGTAGCTAGGTAAATAGATATAGATATTTACAGCAAACCTGCACTCCAGAGTACGTATGCCTGGTGCTGATCTGCAAAAGATATATAAAGCACACGAGGTAGCACTCCAAGGACTTTATTCAAGGATAAAGATAAAACTTAGCTTTTATTCAGCTTTCAGCAAATAAAAATATTGACGTTTCAGTTTTAGTATGAAACATTAAACTTTTGTCCTGATGAAAGTGTTAAAACTGAAACGTTGATATTTTTGTTTGCTGAAAGCTGTTTCATCTTTATTCTTGAAGAAAGTCCTTGATTATCATCTTGTGCTTTATATATATTCCATAAACGTCTGTCCAACAGAGTTTTTCTGGAATATGTAACTCAGCACTGGGTAGAAGAACCTTCACCATACAGACTGCTATCAGTTTACGGTCAGCTCCTTTCACAGTTTTATCAATAGAGCTGGAGCTGATTATTGTCATTGCTCAGTCTTGGACTCTTTTATATAGCCTGTCAGAGGAGGTTTAGACTTTAACATTGTGCCTACCCAGTGTGCACACTTAGTACATATACATGTGTGGCAGAAGAGGAAGTAAAGTGTCTCCCTCAGATGTTTGACACTGAAAGGGAAGGCATATATGTGCACAGACCTGTGCATACAGCTTTAGTTATAAGCACTGCATGGAGTGACATAGTGACTGGGTACTAGGGATGTGCATGGGCAAAAAAATTCAGTTCGGTTCGGCACTTCCGAAATTCGGGACTTCTGCAATTCGGGACTTCGGTTCGTTTTGGCACTTCCAAAATTCGGGACTTTGGCTCTTTCGTTCGGTTTGGCACTTCCAAAATTCGGGACTTCAGCAATTCCCTCACCCCTACCCCTAACTCTACCCCCAACCTTACCCCTAACTCTGCCCCAGGGTTAGGGTTAGATTTCTGTCATTATTCCCTCCCGTACTTTCCCCTCCCTCTCTTGTTTTGCCACTTTTTTTAGAAATCCGAAGCATTTCGGCAATTCCAAAATTCGGCACTTCGGCAATTCGGTTCGGCACTCCCGAAATTAGGCACTTTGGCGGTTCGGTGCGGCACTTCAGAAATTCGTCAATTCAGAAGCATCCGAATGTCCGAATTGCCGAAATTCATCCGAATTTACATTCAGATCGAAACTAATTGAACATGTCTCCTGGGTACTCTGCACTATAACCTGTGCAACGAGCCTATGGTAGGGTATGCCTTTATATCTTGTTCTGATTTCACTTGCTAAAATTCACATGCGCAAAAGAAAGACTAAATAAAAACAGATACATCTATACAGCTGTACATTGCTTTCTGTTGCTTAGTAGAAGCTGGGCTGCAGCTATTACATCAGCATCAATACATAATGAGAATATCACTCAGTCAGCACACAACAATAAATCTTTCTGAAAGTATGCACAAGATTTGCCTTTATAAATAGCTAATTAAATAAAGAGGAAGTCTTCCCCACTGCCCAGTATCTTTGATGTGAATATAGATATATTATGTGAATTGGCCATATATGATATATTGATGGTAACTAAACTGTGAAGTGTACTATTTATGGCTGATTATCTTCGTTTTACTTTGAGTGACTAATGTGTAATAGTTTAGTTTTGAATTGTTGAATTGCTAGCTGTTATGGAGAATGTTTGATTATTTTTTTTCTATGTTGATTGTAGTGTTTGCACTATGAAGATATACTTTGGGTAGAGGTGCCAAAGGCATTGTTACCTAGGAAACCACAAAACATAGACCTGGGCCTGTTATCGATTTACCCTCACTGGCAATTTATTGGAAACCGTGATAAGTAACCCAGATGTGCTCCATGATGTCGAGCCAGCAGCTACTTTAGCTTCCTAACTTATCTGTTTGGCCCTGTCAGACGACTAGGTGGTGGGGACTTAAACCAGGGTCATCATCACTATATTGTACTGTAACATTGTAATATAAGTATTTACATGGTATTTCTGTACTGTTAGCTGAAACTAATGCATGTAATGCTTAACCATTAACATTTTAATACAATAATAAACATTGATAAGACAGTAAAAATAATAGAACCTTGATTCCTTCTTACAATCATTTTCTTTTTATTCTTATAGTCAGGGCCGTCTTTAAGGAGGGGCAAAAGGGGCAGCTGCCCTGGGCCCAGTTACTCCTGGGGGCCCTAAGGCAGCTACCCCATGGGCCCCCTGCGGCACCTGAGGTAATCAGGGGCCACAGCCCTTTAATACTGCTCTGGACCGGCCCGGGCCCCTGTTATATGGGGGGTGGCTGACTACATACTCACAGCTAGCCCCCTCACACACTGCCCTGTGAGTCTCTTTGTTTCCTGGGCATGCTGGGAGGAAGTGAGGTCAGATTGCTTCCTCCCAGTAAGAACTGATCACTTCCTCCTCAGTGCCGCTGGGGAAGAGGCACACACCATATGGAGGAGGATGCAAGCATTGTTGGGGAGAGGGACTGAGAAAGCTGATGGCAGACTCCCATCAGCCTGGGCCAGCAAGCTCTCACTGGACACCAGGGAAGCCACCTTTCTGTACCCAAAATGTAAGGAGACAGGAGGGTGGCTAAATATGTTTTGTTTTTTGTTTTGCTAATTTCTGATATCACTTTTATTTAAGTGTTGGTGTTTGTAATGTAACACACAGGGAATAAGTACATGTTAAAAATCCTAGAAGAACCTGACAGTTCCCTATTAAATATAAATTTAAAAAGTATTTATTTTAACATATTGCATCAAGTGTTATCAAAGGCTGTACACCATTTTCAAATGTCACTTTTGCCAAATTCTGGACCAGGGTATGTAAGAACAGAGTTGAGACATTATATTGGCCAAGGTTGCTGGGAGTTGCTGTCCAAGAGCTGCTAGAAGGCAGAGATTAAAATATGTAAATGTACACATATATATGTGTGTATCTGGCTGTGTTTATGTCCTTGTGTGTATCTGGCTGTGTTTGTCTGTGTGTCAGTGTTTCTGTGTGTATGTATACCTCATACACCTGTATGTGCACCTGTGTGTGTGTAAGTGTGCATCTGAGTGTGTGGTAATGCATACATCCCAGCATTTTAATGCCAACACAAATACACTCCTACATTCCATCTCTAGCACTGTACACATACACACCCCTGCATTTATACCTTATGTGTGTGTGTATATACCTGTGTCAGTGTGTGTGTGTATGTGCCAGTGTGTGTATATCAAAGTGCTTGTATCTGTGTGTCAAAGGGTGTGTATCTGAGTGTTTGTGTATGTGCCAGTATGTGTCACGGTGTGAGCATGTGTCAGTGTGAGCATGTGTGTATCTGCGTGTTAATGTGTATGTGTATATGTGTTTATAGAAATCACACAACATGCAAACAGACCCCTGCAAACACAAACATTACAAACACACCAGTTTGCTGAAACACTAATACTACACACAAATGTACACATGTATTTAAAAGACAACACTATATCCAAACACCCCCTGCATGCAAATACAAACATTACATGCAAACACATTCCTGTATTAAAACGCTAAAATTATATACAAACACCAACTCTACACACAAAAGTACACCTGCATTTAAAAGCCAACACTACAAACAATCACACATCCCTGCATTAAAATGCAAACACTACACACAAGTACACCACTGCATTCCAATGGTAACAGTACATACAAATACACCCCTACATGCACACATACACTCTATACAATAACATGCTGACATTCATTTGCACAAACACTGCTCAAAAATACAACCCTGCAAGGGTAGATCCCCAGCTGGCATAGCATCGCAGGAGTTGTATGACAGATGGGGATCTATCTTTTCTTTACTCTTGTGCTACAGGGCAGGCCTGAATTTTTTTTGTTGCACCAAGGCACTCTTTACATTAGTTTCGCCTCTAGGTTGGGGTGGAGAGAGTGATTGCATGCCCAGGGGGCCCAAACAGATGCTTGCCCAGGGTCCAATCAATATTAAAAACGGCCCTGCTTATAGTATTCTTATAATTGTTATTTTTAAAATTGTCATGTGAAAGGAACTTATTGGATTCAAGCTTATTGGTATTAAACCACGGTATCCACTCATTCAGGGTTGGTGACAGTTAGTTATGTAGGATGGAATTCTAATTTGTGTTTAATAATAATTGATTTGTTCTATATATTTTAAAGGGACACTATAGTGTTAGGAATACAAACGTATTCCCAACACTATTGTTTGAACTACCTATTAGAGTCCCATGTCCCCCTCAAAGTGTAGAAATAAGGTTTAAACTTACATTTTCTTCTTTGCTGTGTCTGTCTTGGTGTGGCTGGCCCCACCACCATGGCTGAGATAACAAATTTATCTGAAATGGCAGCATTTACATTGCTCAGTCTTTAGGAACCAACTATAGACACCAGAACATTAAATTGTAGTGGTTATGGTGACTATAGTGTCCCTTTAATGCAATATCTATTACATGTATTTAAAAAAAAAAAAAATCGATCAACCCAATTTATTGCATCTGTTATCACTCGGGTACACCAGTATTCTAAGTCAATTTATAACATCACTCTGTCTGTCTTACAGAAATACAACAATGACTGGTGGATCGGGAGGCTAGTAAAAGAGGGGGGGGACATCGCCTTTATTCCAAGCCCCCAGAGGCTAGAAGCCATTCGACTGAAACAGGAGCAAAAGGCCAGGTAAACAAGTCCTTTATAATGGGATTTAACCATGATAAACACAACTGACCATGTAGAATTATAGTTCAAAGTGGAAGTGAATATGTCTCAAATAGAAGCACTGTCCCGTATGTCTACAGTGCTTGTGTATGAGAAATTTTGGATTAGACAGATATCATCAGGATGGATTCATCCAACAGAGTCAGAGCCATCCCGTGCATGGGTACTGATGGGGCCAATCTTCAGAGGATTTGACATCAGCATTTAGGGGCTGCTATCATTGTTCTCCGCTGCTGTCCACTGGCAATGCTCATTCACAGCCCTACTCGAATAGACGAAGCAGCAACAGTGGCAGAGGCAGAAGCAGCAACACAAGCATACAAATCTCTAGCTTGTAGAATTGAAACAACGTAGTCCCGTAGGGGAGTCACACGGTTTGATTCCTCCTGGCTGAGGCAGAGATCAGCTCTGTGTCATTTAATGACACTGTATCAGTCACACAACTCGAAGCTGCCACTCGAGCAAGTAACCTGCGGAGCAAGATCAATTGCCTAACTGGCAATAATTCCTATGTTCTGCAAGCGTTACACTGGAAAATGACTGATGATGAGAAAAGCAAGGAAGCTGCTAGCTCCTTCTCTATGGGGTAATCCGTTCATTATATTTGTTTATGCTCAGACGTCCCGTGCCTCACACAGGGACGAGCTTACAACTGAGGAGGGCTGTGCATTCAAACATCAGGAGTCAGCCTGCACATTCCCTCTCCTAACTTCTCAATGAGATGACACTTTGATAAACATTTTAAAGGGACACACGTCATTTTATGATATGCTTAAAGGGCACTATCATGAATAACATGTTACAATATATAAAAATGTACATCTGCTAGTTTGAAATTTAAAAAGATGTTAAGTGTTTTCAGTTCTGGTTAATTTTCCACCATTCATTCTGAGCTGCAGAGTTCCCTGGGTATCTACAGATCGCAGTCAGTCTGTATGCACTGACACATGCTCACCAAGAATATTTTTTAGGTGATGTCATAAAGGGATTTTCCTCTTATCCCCACAAAACCCAAACATTTAGACTATGCCTAATCCTTCATCCTACTTCAAACATTACCCCGAGCTGTAAAAATAAAAGCACACTATAGGCACCATAACCACTCACTGTCGCTGACTCATTGTTCAGGGTTAAACTGTTTTCAGAAGGGTTAATGCACATTGAGGTACCCTAGCAGCCTACTTCGCAGCCCCCTACTGGAAGAATGGCTACGCAGAGTTACACTTTTTTTGCTTTTTAAAGAATTAACTTTTGAATTGTCACTTTAGTAAATAACCCGGTTTTCTTAAAACTAAATAATGTATAAAGATATTTATTAAGTTAATAGCCAATAGTTAAATTGACATCTGAATTGCAAAATGTAGAAAAATATCTTGAAAATGGTTTGATATGATTTTTCCACCAAAGCTATTTGTTCCAAAATTGAGTTATATTCATCTGAATTCACTAATTGGTGTTCAATGTTTGTACAGTTCATATTTTTTATTAAATTCTTTAAATAAATAATAAAATACTTGTCATATGTTCAGGAGGACGGGTGGCAATACCTCTGGTTTGGGAGACATGGTCTCTGGAAATCGGCGCTCACCTCCCCCATCAATAGGTAAATATAAATAATTTTGTTATCAGTAATAAACGCTCTTGGTTTTAAATGAACAGCTGAAATTTCGTACAGGGTCTTGTGAAATGCAAATATGATGATGATCATAAATGTGACAGACGGATTTATACTGCTTGTCCTTTCTGAATGAGTGCCAAACACTTAAAATTCTCACTAAATTTGACATTGTTCAGCCAATTAAATACATGTTGGAAAAGGACTGATAAAATCTGTCCTTGAGAGCTGTAATATTGTCAGTTTGCCATTAATCAGTCAATTCATGTCAAGTGTCACTAAATATTGTGCTAAGTACTATCTGGGAGTCCTGGTCTGTCTGCTGCACAAGAGGACTTGAGTGCAGGGTTCATTTAACAAATGAGACCAATATATCAAGCTTTACAGGTTTTGAGAAAAGCCTCCATGCCATTTTATTATCAAGTGACTGAGCAACAAAGTTCCTGGAGAATCTGTTTTTGTTACAGTCATTAGGTGGCCAAGCTAATTTTTTTCATTTTACAAAAAGTGCAGATTTCAATAGAAATTGGCACTTTTACAAATTAACCTTGTTACACTCAGACTGGCTGTCAATCAGAAAGCCAGTACTGTTTGGTTAGCTAAGTGGAGCTAAACTCAAGAGGCAACAATTGCCAAGAGAATCTGCCTTGCAAAGACTTCTCATTGAGCTGCATTGGGAAGTCAGTGATTGGACAGCCACACTGGGTTGGGTTAGGATGGAAGGGCTTGCATATCCAGTGGACAAAATATATGTAACTTTTGCCAGATGATTTTAGATGTACTCACAATGAAAAATGCAACAATAAATGCATGAATATTTTCGTTGGGTTTATGTGCAGGGGTAGGTAACCTTTGGCCAAACTACAACTCCCTTAATGCTCTTAGCATAAGGGAGTTGTAGTCTTGCCAGCATACTTCCAATGCTGGCAAAGCATCAAGAAAGATGTTACTATGGTGAACAGCATCAGGAGTGGCACTATGGTGAATAGTGATTTTTTTTAAATCTGGCATTGGGGGTGTCCATTTAATAACAATGTGATGTAAAAAAGGCAAGCATACCATTTTCATCTGTATTACTGTTTTTGTGTTTTTTTTGACAGATATTTGTTAACTTTTTACCAAACTGCTTTTTCCTTTTATCCAGCTGTCCCTGTTACTCAGAATTTATCATTACAGCCTGCTGAATGGCAAAATAATGAAAACAACTAACAATATCAACCCACAGTGCAATATATTTTTGTGCTAATGTCTGCGTGTAAACCCAATTGTGATCTTTTTGTTAGCTGAGATAAACGCTATTGGTTTGACTCTTAATTCACCACCCCCCTTACTTGAAAGCATGAAGACACAATAGTATTCATTTCAACAGGAAATTAAAAACGCAATTTGATTTTTCTACTTGTTTTATGCAAACATTATGCATTGAACAGTTGAAACTTAATATTAAAGAAAAATAAAACCAAGTAGTTTCTAAAATCCTGTTGAAGGCAGTTTGGTTAAATGCAAATAACGCAGTCTAATTTGTGGACACAGGCCTGTCTATGAATCATTGAAACTGCAATCTTGACATTAAAGATTTAACCCTAGCACCTCAACCATGTCAGTGATTTGAAGTGGTCATAGTGCCTGAAGTCTGTGTGTGCAGTGTTTTGCTATGAAACAGCGCACATCTTGAGTTTAACATTCTTCTACGCACATCATGTCGTTCGTTAGCTGAGAGAGATCAGCTGACACAACTTGGGGAACGGCACGATGGCACTCGTACCGTCATAACCATGGGCTGTAGTGGTTATGGTGGTTGCTGTAATTATTTACTGGACAGTAAGAAAGTATATCATAATATTTGACCAATAACCTTTCTCTGGGTATTGGCAAGTCATAATGAACATTTCTAAATATTAATTAGACATGACAGATGTTTTTTGCTGCTGTTTAAAAACCATGAATTAATTTTAGGTATTAAAATTCCACCCAGTGTTTTTAGAGCTCTTTGCAGTGATGGTTTGTATATATAATGTGATGGTTTGGTTTACGACGTGTGATTGCTTGGTACATCCGGTGTGATGATTATGCTAGCAGAATGCTTGGTTGTATAGGGAGTGGTATTAGCAGTAGAAAGAGGGAAGTGCTCATGCCATTGTACAGAACACTGGTGAGACCTCACTTGGAGTATTGTACGCAGTACTGGAGACCAGGCCCGGACTGGTCATCGGGCACACTGGGCAAATGCCGCGGTGGCCATGGGCTGAGGCCGACAGGGGAGATCACAGGATCTCCCCTGCCGGTCTATGCAGGGCCGGCACTATCCGAGCGCCGACCCTGCAGTAGTCAACGATGGGCCGGTGGCGAGTGTGAGGGAGACAGGAGAGGAACCCGGAGGAGCTCTAAGTTACAACTCCGCTGGGTTCCTCTTGCGAGATTCGGAGCGTTGCCATGGCAATGCTCTGGGTCTCGCGATAGTGAACTCTAGCCCCACAGGCTAGAGTTCACTCACCACTAGGACCACCAGGGATGGCAGCAGAAGCAGAATCCCCCCTCCCAGGCTAAAGGTAAAAAGGGAGGGGGGATATAATCTGTCAAGTCACAGCAGCCTCACTTACTCACACACACCCTGCGCCCCTGACACTCACAGCACCCTCACACACACACTGCACCCCTGACACTCACAGCACCCTCACACACACTGGGACACTGACAGCACCCTCACACACACACACCCTGCACCCCTGACACTAATAGCACCCTCACACACACACACACACACACTCCACCCCTGACAATCACAGCACCCTCACACACACACTGCACCACTGACACTGACAGCACCCTCACACACACACCCTGCACCCCTGACACTGACAGTATCCTCACACACGCACACTGCACCCCTGACACTCACAGCAACCTCACACACACACACACTGCACCCTTGATACTCACAGCACCCTCACACACACTGTACCCCTGACACTGACAGCACCCTCACACACACACCCTGCAACCCTGACACTGATAGCACCCTCTCACACACACACTGCACCCCTGACACTCACAGCACCCACACACACTGCACCCTCACTCACACACACACTGCACCCCTGACACTCACAGCACCCTCACACACACACTGCACCCCTGACACTCACAGCACCCTCACTCACACACACTGCACCCCTGACACTCACAGCACCCTCACACACACACACTGCACCCCTGACACTCACAGCACCACACTTACACACCCTCACACACACACACACACACTGCACCCCTGACACTCACAGCACCCTCACTCACACACACACACAAACACACTACACCCTGATCCCAGCACCCTCACTCACACACACACTGCATCCCTGACACTCACAGAATCCTCACACACACACACTGCACCCTTCACACTCCACAGCACCTCACCTCCACACACTGCACCCCTGACACTCACAGCACCCTCACTCACACACACTGCACCCCTGACACTCACAGCACCCTCACTCACACACACACACACACACACTGCACCCCTGACACTCACAGCATCCTCACTCACACACACACACACTGCACCCTTCACACTCACAGCACCCTCACTCACACACACTGCACCCCTGACACTCACAGCACCCTCACTCACACACACTGCACCCTTCACACACACACACACACACACACACACACACACACTGCACAATAGGCTTTCCTAGCATTTTTGTCTCCTGGTATCCCATCTATGGAGACACCAGAGACAAATTTCAAGCAAACACAGTGCAAGCATGTCATTAAATTTGCTTGAGCTGTGCAGAACAAATACACGGTCTTTTTTTCATGCTAGAGCTCTTCAGCAGAGCTCTGCGCATGGTCTACCCTGGAAGAGCATTGAACCAACATGCTCACTTTGTGATGGGGCGTGCTTGTCATTGGTGATGACAAAACACACCCTATCTGGCCCCGCCCCCTTTTTAGTGGGCCGCTGTAATTAAAAAATGCCGGGCCGAATTTCCTTCCCAGTCCGGCCCTGCTGGAGACCGTATCTCCAGAAGGATATTGATACTTTAGAGAGAGTTCAGAGAAGGGCTACGAAACTGGTTCGTGGATTACAGGATAAACCTTACAAGGAAAGGTTAAAGGAACTTAACATGCATAGCTTGGAGGAAAGATGAGACAGGGGGGATATGATAGAAACATTTAAATATATAAAGGGAATCAACACAGTAAAGGAGGAGACTATTTAAAAGAAGAAAAACTACCACAACAAGAGGACATAGTCTTAAATTAGATGGGCAATGGTTTAAAAATAATATCAGGAAGTATTACTTTACTGAGAGGGTAGTGGATGCATGGAATAGCCTTCCAGTTGAAGTGGTAGAGGTTAACACAGTGAAGGAGTTTAAGCATGCGTGGAATAGGTATAAGGCTATCCTAACTATAAGATAAGGCCAGGGACTAATGAGAGTATTTAGAAAATTGGGCAGACTAGATGGGCCGAATGGTTCTTATCTGCCGTCACATTCTATGTTTCTATGTGATGCTTTGGTGCATCCCGTGTGATTTTGGTACATCACATGACATATAATGGTTTGTGCATATCATGTAATTGTTTGTTACTTCCAAAGTAGTGGTTTGAAATATATCCCATGTGATGGTTTGCTAAGTCCAGTTATGTCGGGAAACCAAGGAATAAAAGCGGTGGTGGCTTAGAATTACATAGCTGTATAAAGATGTATGGCCAGGCTCAATTGTTACCAGTTCATTTAAACTTGTATAACAATCTGTATATTTTTTTTCTCTAAAGCTAAACAGAGGCAAAAACAGGTAAGTGCTCTGCTAAAATTATGAAATGGGGTTGTGAGGAAGAAGATTATTGAAAATACCAGCAGTCACAAAACAACATTTTAAGTAATCATTTTAATTGTACAGAAATTATTAGTGGGCTATTTGCTGCTTAGTTGCTAGTTAAATACTGGTGTGGGGGGCTGGCGCCGCCCCTCTCTTCAAAATCCTTGCCCCCACCTGTCAGCATTGGGTGCGGGCAGAAATTCAGCAGTAGAGGGTGGAGAGGGGCTATTTAAAAATAAAAAATATTGGGCTCCTCCCCCTGTAGCTAGGTGTCCCTAAGCCCTAGTACCCCCCATTAAAAGAAAGTCTCTACATACTCCCCTCACCATTATAATAGTGTGAGGGCCCAATAAATCTTACCTGTAAAAATCAAAAAATGTTTAGAAGTCTTCATTCTTCTTAAGTCTTCTTATCTTTTTAGCCCTTAAAAAGATCAAATAAAAAAACCATAATAAACTGATACTAATATTTAAAAAAGGCCCAAACTCTTAAAAAAAAGTGACGAATAAAGATAAAATGCAACAAAAAAACAAGTGAACCTAGGAGCTCCACGCTGAATAAACCTTTAAAGGACCACTCTAGGCACCCAGACCACTTCAGCTTAATGAAGTGGTCTGGGTGCCAGGTTCTTCTAGGGTTAACCCATTTTTTTATAAACATAGCAGTTTCAGAGAAACTGCTATGTTTATGAATGGGTTAAGCCTTCCCCCTAATCCTCTAGTGGCTGTCTCATTGGCAGCCACTAGAGGCGCTTGCGTGCTTCTCACTGTGATTTTCACAGTGAGAGCACGCCAGCGTCCATAGGAAGGCATTGTAAATGCTTTCCTATGAGACCAGCTGAATGCGCGCGCAGCTCTTGCCGCGCGTGCGCATTCAGCCGGCGGGGCGTAACGGAGGCGGAGAGGAGGAGGAGAGCTCTCCGCCCAGCGCTGGAAAAAGGTAAGTTTTACCCCCTTTCCCCCTTCCAGAGCCGGGCGGGAGGGGGTCCCTGAGGGTGGGGGCACCCTCAGGGCACTATAGTGCCAGGAAAACGAGTATGTTTTCCTGGTACTATAGTGGTCCTTTAAGGCAGGAAAAGACTTTATAAAGGCCCTCCTATCCTTTTTTTTTTATTCGAGTTTGGGTCTGTTTTAAGTAGTTGTGTTGGTCTATTATTATTTTTCTATTTGCTCTTTTTTGGGGGCTGAAGAAAATAAGAATTAAGAAAGGTAAGTATGATATCTTTCTCCAACAGGTATTAGATTAATTGACCTCCACCCTCTTCACTAATTGTATTATTATATGTGACCTATTTAATATTGATCTGTATTGTTGTAAACTTTCCTAGCTCCTAAATTAATCAATCGGCTCCTAAAAAAAACATTGTATGGTGCTTGATGTAGTGGTTGCCACACAAACATTCACAAAACTTGTAACCATATTGCAGAATAGCTATCTGGCCAATGGCCAGGGCAGTCAAAATCATTTCTAAATTAATCTTCATCATATGTCAATCCCCCAGGCGTTTGGCTACAATTTGTATTCTATTCAGTGCTCATACTGCAACAATTTATTGTGACCAAACATTATACAGGGACAAGAATGTTTTGATAAAGTGTTTGATTTGAGTCATCGTGTTTTCAGTTTACATATTTTTCTTTGTACATCTGTAGATTTTTCCAAGTGTATTTCTTTAGTGTGATCAAGAGATCAAAATCCTTTTGAGACTAGCTAATTGCACAGCCATTAACTTTGTAGACCAATTGTCCCACTGTACATGGAATAGTCATGGTTTCAATATGTGTATATGATCCATACAAAAAAGATCTGGAACTCACAAACTACTACTTTTTTTAATGTATTACATTTATGTTGAGAGTACCACCCCGATGGTTTTATTGCTTGTTGTTACACCCTACCCCATGGGTCGTCAACCTGGTCCCTACCGTCCACTAGTGGGCGTTTCAGGATTCCAGGTGGGCGCTAGGGATTTCCTCATTTTGAAAGATTGGGCAGGCGGGATACCCGCCATCACCATTTGCCGTCGTCCAAGGAGTTCATCGGGTGGCCCATGCTGTCAGGGCCACCCGATGGTTATGGATTGTAAGGAGGCCTGGTCAGCGCTGGGCACTTTAACAGCGCGATCGGGCCCCCTGTGATTACATCACACAGAGCTGAGAGGAAGTGACTGCACGTCACTCCTCCCAGCTCACACACACACCGTGCGGGAGGAAGCAGAGGGAGTCAGAGCAGGAACTCTGACTCCCATCCACCTCAGCCACCACTGGACCCCAGGGAATGTCACCCTCCTGCACCTAAAAGGTAGGAAACAGGAGGGTGACTAAAATATTTTGTGTATGTTTGTTTATGTGTATGTGTCTTTGTATGTATGTCTTGTGTGTGTCTGTCTGTATGTATGTGTCTGTATGTATGTGTGTATGTGTCTTTGTATGTATATGTGTCTTATGTATGTGTCTTTGTATGTATGTATGTGTGTGTCTTAGTATGTATGTCTTGTGTGTGTGTATGTATGTGTGTCTTGTCTTTGTATGTATGTGTTGTGTGTGTATGTGTCTTTGTATGTATGTGTATCTTATTTATGTGTCTTTGTATGTGTGTGTCTTGTGTCTGTCTGTATGTGTGTATGTGTCTTTGTATGTGTGTCTGTATGTATGTGTGCATGTCTGTGTGTCTGTATGTATGTGTGCATGTCTGTGTGTGTGTGTGTGTCTGTATGTATGTATGTGTGTCGTGTGTGTGTGTGTCTGTGTGTCTGTATGTATGTCTGTGTGCCTGTCTGTTTGTATGTATGTGTATTTGTATGTATGTGTGTCTTGTATGTGTGTATGTGTGTCTTTTGTGTGTGTGTGTGTCTGTATGTATGTATGTATGTATGCATGTATGTGTGCCTGTCTGTTGTAGTGGGCTATAGTAAGTAATAGTAAGTGGGCTACCTAGCTCAGCCTTCCTGTTGGGCATTGCTATAAGGAAGGTTAAAAAATAGAAAAAAGGAAGAAAAAAAAAGGTGGGGAGGGGAATCTGATGCACAGATGAGAAATCATATTATGAGCAAACAGAGAAGTCGTCTGAATATCACTGAAAGAGGAGACCTTCGTTTGTTCCTTATGAAAATCGAACCAGATATAAAATATTTAGTCTCGCAGCATCAACCTCAAGGATCTCATTAATCACTAGTAAAGGTAACTTCAATTTACTTTATTGTTTTCTCATTAAACTTTACAAAATAAATTAAAAACATTATAAACATGCATAAAGTAGAAATAACAAAATAAATGTATGTACATTTATTTTTTATTTTTTTAAAACGCCCTCCTTTCTAAAAAATATTCTGCACTTGTGCGAAAACTGGTGGGCGGTAAGGACATTTTTCAATCAAGAAAGATGCATTAGTGGGCAGTAGGTAGAAAAAGGTTGACTACCACTGCCCTACCTGTTTGGTGAGTGCCATCTATTTTCTTTTTTTTTCATACAATATAAGTGGAGGCAGAGCTCAGATTATCGCTACAGTGGTTATGAACTATAACTGAAGCAGAGTGTGGTTTGTGCAGATTTCTAAAAATTGACATATTTTTCATACTGTTGGTAATGTTCTATAGGATCTTTGTCTGCCTTGTATACAGCTATAACTAGCATCAATCCAAACATAGCTTTTGTACAACCGCAAGTGGGCCCTGTGTTCCATGTCACTTTGCATCAAATGACAGAGACAGCGGCTGATACCAATTGCCATATTCACAGCAATAGATCACCTGCCGACATCATGCTGTTGTCAGTATTAAGAGATAATATGCTGTACAACAGCAGAATAAGCAACAAAACATTCATAGATTTAAACTCTATATACCAACAATGGCACAGACAGCACTTCCTGCTCAAAAAGCCACCATTCACTTTAAAGTAGTGTTAACATAACAAATGTTCTCTTCTATTGAGGTTTATGTGCAAACTATGGAATACTTAACTTCTTTATTTTAAGACGGCATCATAAAAATGAGTTTGATTCATAGAAAAAGTTCCATTCCGAATGAAAATGAAAAGGGAACATAAAAACGAAGAAAGATGGTAGACAAAAGGATATATTAACCAGAGAGACCGACCGGATAGTTCACTGTATTTACGTTATCTAGCCTCTGATTTCAGACTGCGTAGATTCATGAACCATCTCAGTTTACAGTAGTCTTACTGTCTGTATTTTAACTTTGCTAATGACTTTGCACAAGGGGGATACAGTCTGTACTCTATTATGAATATAACTTTTCTAGCAGCTAATACAGATGCTTATTTGTTTTGCTCTTGGTGAGATCAGTTGTAGTTGGCAACGTTACTGTTCAAAATTGTTCATAATTAAGTGACACTGGTGCATTTTTATACGAGCAGGCATCCTATATGATCGTACTGACAAAAGGTTATCTTTGAATTTTACTATCTTATATCACACATTACATTATGATATATCCACTGAACCAGGAATTGCAAAGAATTATAGAAGTAAATTTAACATTTTTGGCCAAATGGCAAAAAAATTCCAACACTTTTCTGGCTCTGTTAATATGGTGTGAAATAGGCAATTTCCTGTTTAATTATTAAGTCATTTTGTTTTTCTGATAATTTGCTATGCTTCAGAAAGTTTTCACATTTGGCATATAGAGTATTGATGTTTTTTTCTGAATAATATATATATAACTCTCATTATCTCACGGCAAAGCAGGTGAATTGTATTAACCCCTTTCATATTTAAACAAAAATGGCTTGGAGAATTTTTCCACTTTGATTATTTTGTCTAAATGTATGATTATAAATAAATAAATATATATATATAAATATATATATATATATATATAAATAAATATGTGACAGTTGTGACAATTCCCACATTAATGAATACCCCTGTGTGAGTTATTGTGATCTCATAACCTACTACCAAGATACAGGAATAAAATAGCAGCATGAAAAATATTCTCAGTTGAGTTTGGGAGCTTGGCCATATTGGCCTAAATCTTATAAATCAGTTGTCAATTTGCCAAAAATGAGTTTAGCATAAAACAATTTAATTAGATTAACCGAGAACCTCTAATTAAAAGGATAGATACCACAAAGTACAAGATCTAACTAGTAGAAATCAGATTTTGATACCATAAAACATTTTCAAATCCTGTTTTAGAGGGACCTCATCCTGTTAATTTTCTAGGCTTACAATAATTAACATGTAATCAGATAATCAACATCATTAACAAATATGTCACCCCAAATTTCTGTGAGTTTTCAGCCATCGCTGACAAGTGTTCATCTCCCATGATCTAGTGAAATGTGATTTATAAAGTATGTAGACCTGAACGAGTTAAGATTCTGACTACAGATTTGAGATTGTTCAGAACATAAAAGCATGTTTGGCATCCATTTATTTGTCAAAGCTCTGGCAAATGTCCCCAAGAGCCACTTAGCATCATCCTTACTTAGCCCTTTCATTACCCATATATTCACAGTAAGAAATGCTCTTATTATTCATGCATCTAATAATGTTCTTTTATTGTAGGCAGAACAAGTAGCACCTTACGACGTAGTCCCTTCAATGCGGCCTGTAGTCCTTGTTGGTCCATCTCTGAAAGGATATGAGGTATATATATTGGACAAATGGGTTAAAAATGAAAACATTTTACTGCTTTTTTTTTGGTCAATCTTTATTTTTGCTGTGCACAGAATAACAAACATTTTTAGATAGAATTAAAGGTTAACAAAAATACTTATAACAGAGTGTGGTATTCAAAATTATGACACATTAAAAAAAAAAATAACAAGCAGAAAGAAAACAGAGTAAGTCAAGCATGTCTAGCTAATAGTCAGGACGTAGGCTAAGTAGAGTCTGGCTAGAATTGCTACCTAAGCCTAAGTCAGAATGTAGAATATAAGAGTGCTAGGCTGGCTAGACATTTAGAGTGTAAGTGAATTATATAGCTAAAAGATAGGCTTAGCTATATAGAATGTGGTTGAACACGCTAGGCAAACACGAGTGATAAGAAATACTGGAGTCATGCTAAGCGTAACTGTCCAATCTTTAAACAAAGGAAAGTAACTAGGAATATTCAGACATGGGGATTGCTCAACAACAATAATACTCCCTATTCAAGCTAGGTTGTCACGAGACAATAAGTGGATAGGTCAGTGAAGCATCACTGTGGGACCTTACAAGACATGTCTGATTACGTGCTAATTCTTGACATGTTCAGGCTGCTGCACATTTTATTCATTAAAAACCAGAAGAGGGTGTAAATAGTGCCTAAGTAGCATCTAGAAGATGCACCGATTGAGTTTAAAACTAACCAGGAGCTGGTTTTACACCCATACCCTTCCTAATGTTTAAACTGGCTCCATAAGTTGCTGGACTAGCCCTGTGTTAAGTTATATCCCTCCCCTCCTCTCCCCCTCTTCATACAACGTGCAAAGGTCTAAAGTTCATTATTTTTTCAATTATGCACACCCATGCACGCACAGCCCACACCCCAGACCTTCCACTCAAGCAATAGCCTCTCAAGTGATGTACTACCACTGTTGAAGGCTAGTAAGCGAACTACTTATCTCACTAAGTGCCTCAGAAAAGCCCATGGCTCACAGCGTTAAAATGACAAGAGCAATGAAGCGCTACAAGACCAAAGGCCAGACCCCTCCATAGAAGTAGACAGCCCTACCGCACTCTGCCCCCCAAAAAAGGGAATCCTAGTCACTATTAATTAATTAAAAATGAGTGGAATAATGCAATGAGACCTTGAGTTCCTTGTTATTGTGCCATGCTTGTTTCTGTATGTTTCATGTTCTCTTTTAGCGATCACTCGCAAAAATAAAGAATAAAAAAAAACAAAAAACTAGGTATGGGTCAGCTATGAGCTCGTCCGTTAATAAGTACCCCTAATAATTTGACATACTGCTACTGTCGGTCAGATTAATTTAGCAAAAGCAACACATGTGAAAACAAATTAATATAAACACGATATAAAATCCAAGCTTTGGATCATACAAGGTTATAGAAACATGGTAGAGTGTGAATAAACAGTCATTGTAAATAAAATAAATTCAGTCTGCTTTATAAAAATGTGCAGAAGTATTCAGTTAGCATATCACATACATCTGCCTCAAAAGCAGTACAAGTACAGCATATACATGAAACAGACAAAATAAGCATAATATACATATAAAAAGTGGGGTGCTACCTTCTAAGATCCAAATAATCTGTAGTAACCCATTTTCCAAAAGCTATAAAGAAACACAGATCTAAACACTCGCTAAGAAATTGTCTTAGGATCCAAAGGGAAAGGCTCCCAGTCTCAAATTTGGAACTGGCGACCATGTTGGACACTAATCCATGAGCCCCAAAAAACAATATTCCTTTGATTCCAAAAAAAAAACTAGTGCATTTAGGATTTAGCATTTAGGTTAGCTCAGTAGTATTATGAGTTAAGGCCACAATACGATTCATAGAATGAGTGTCTTCGACCTTCCTGACTTATTGCCAAGTATCTAAAGAATATTCTGTTCTCCAGTACAACGAGAGTAAGGCTTTTGCCTCATTAAGATGATACCTAACTAAAGAGTGTTTGTATACCTTAAACATGAGATCATGGTGATGCAACACAATCAGCTCTGAAGTTAAATGGACAGTATCCTCAGACATGTGAGAAGCAATTCTCCTAATGACAGACCGGTAATAGGCAAGCTCATGGCAGTCCAAACAAAGATGTAAATAAGTCCCGGCACTCTCACCACAGCGTCAGCAAACGTTAGTCATTGTAGGAGAGATCCGGTAAAAAGATTCTCTGTGTTTTACTTTGGGTGTTTCATGTAAGCACAACAACTGAAACCATTAAGAAATGTATTGTTTTTGTACTTGTCCTTTACAAATTGCAATATACAGTTGTTAGCGTTGAGCTAATATTTTTCATATTTATCTTTCACTTGCTTGCCCATTGCTGACCATACTGTTTTTTCTTTTAGACTAATTTATTATTATTATTACTATTGCCATTTATACAGCGCCAACAGATTCCGTAGCGCTTATTTATAGCAAAGTCTATCTATCATGTGTGCTTAAATATAGCTAACTATAGTACTTTAACAGGCACCTGAAGAAACAAAAACCCTTGCTTTCCTGTAAACGATGGTGGAGTTGTTTGATACAATTGGGACTCTTAATGGTACCCATGGCCTCCTTGGCCTCCTCTGAACATCAATGATAATGTCAGAATTACCAAGTGCCCATTTGTTTTTGACAGAACTCATAGACACATACTAGCATAACAATCTGTAAGGGGTATCTTGCTCAGAATCTCCTTAGGTGCTTTAGCCCAAGTAACCAATTTTTTTTTTTTAGCAGTAGACATTATATGTCTTTAATGTAATCTTATGTAATGCTTTTTAGAAAATAATAGTGTTTGCAGAGAACATTGGATAATTTTGCAAAGCACACAGTGTTTTCCAGATGGTAAAATTGGATCTGCCGCAAGGAAATCTCAAACAAAGTCCCAAGGAGTGTAGCCTCATCATTTTGTTAATTTACTAATTGAAAGTCATCAGTCATACGCCACTTACCCTGCTCCATGTTTTCACGAAGTTCAATAAGCAGTTTTAAAGATGCATGCTGACTCAGATCTTCTTATTACGTCCTATTTACCTGGAGACTAATATTCTCTGGCACAAATGAGCAACTCCTGTGTTTTAGTAGAGCATTAGTGCAAAGCCAATGTTGCTGCCCAGCTGCTGAAAACACTATGCTTGGTGCTTTGTTGAAGTGAATTACATAATGCAACCTCATCATCATTTAATCTGATACATCAAAAAGGAATAAATATTTTGCAACATTAAGGGCATTGAAGGCATTAATGGACTGACGGCTCCACGCAATTAGTTTAGTTCTGGGCCATGTCTTCTATAATTAGATTCTTGGAGAATATATATAAACTGATATTAAATAGTGCATTAAATGCTTGATGTAGACGGGATATAGTGAGACTTACTCCAGAATCAGTGTGATTTCCTGAATGTGGACTGAATGGTGATCTGCTCTCTTTACTAAATTGTCAAACATTTTTTGTTTTCAGTGGAGTGTTCCTTTAATGTTTGGTTAGATATACCACCAAAATATGTAAACATTCTTTCTGTATGCTTTCTGTAAGGTATATGAAAAAAAAAACAGATTGCAAAAGCTGCAGCCCTCTTTCTTTGACACAGAGTTTTAGTCTGTGCCAGGGGATACACCAATCAGAGGTCGGAACCGTGACTTCCTGTGCAGAAGCATACAAAAACGTCCCTGGCTGTCTGATGCCAGGGATGTTTTTTGCCCTTAAATATAATTTTGGTAGAAATCGGCACTTTTATAAACTGTTACAAACATGACAGACAGCAAGCTGAGTGTTTATTCAAGAACAATGTTTCTGTCTCATTCTTGCGTTTCCTTACTACTCATGGTTACTTGAGATGTGTTGGAAACAGCACTGCTCTGAGCTAAATAAGTAAATGTTAATCCAGTTCTGATTTTGAAACAGATATACTGCTAACAAGCTTATTTTGGCAACAGGAATTTAATAAAATTAGTAGGATCAGTGAAAGGGCTAGGTGACTTGCTGAATAGCCCTTTGGCAAAGAAGTGGATCCCAATAATCTCTATTGCAGTGAAATAACATCTTAACATATTGAAGCAGAACAAATTCTCCAAATTCTTGGACTGTTCAAGGGTCTCCCGAGCCAAGCAGCAGCCGCAGTATGCTACACAAAATGTATTGCTATCATAGTCCAGACTGCTGTCCAAAAGCCAATCAATCTCTATAATCTTAAGCTTCAGCAATTCTGTTAACGTCAATGCAGTATCCATAAATAATATACTATATTCTATGAAGATTTAGATTTTTGTGATTAGGCTTGCATTAACGTGTTCTACTTTCACAGACTCAGAGGAGTTCTGTTTTTCATATAAAGATCCTTTTATTTTCTATCTCTTCTCTCTCTTCCGTCTATACATTTTACATCAGGTGACTGACATGATGCAGAAAGCTCTGTTTGACTTCTTGAAGCACAGATTCGATGGCAGGTGAGATGTATTTGGAAATAAACAGGACACCAGGGTAAAAATCCAGATGATGAGGCAGGAGCACCAAATAGTGACTGTCCCACAGACACACCTATTTTAAAACAGTTAGAAATGTGATTACTTTTTGTTTGTCAGATTCTGCTCATTAACATTGTTAAGATTTTTTTACCTGACAAAAAGATGCATTTAGTTTCATGAATCCCACAAGCTGGAGATAAACAGAGGAGCATATGCTGCAAATGTCTAACCTGATTTAGGGCTTACTCTTTACAGCCACATTCTAAATAATTGTATTACTGTTCTTGAATGCACAAATAATGAAAATAATGATCACACCTTTTGGGGATTTTGTATGTGTTTTTTTTCTGATTTACAGAATTTCTATCACCCGGGTAACTGCTGACTTGTCTCTTGCCAAGCGCTCAGTACTTAACAACCCTGGCAAGAGGGCAATCATTGAGCGGTCCAGCACCCGCTCAAGTATTGGTGAGTCTGTAAGGCATATCTCACATTTTGTTGGGTGGCAGTGGATAATTTAGAAGTAGAGAACATTAGAGAATTGAAGGGTAAGTTTGCATAACTATGGAAATCAGTATATATTTTTTTTAATTCTTGCTTCAATTTTAGAGCTTGTATCAGAATAATTTCATAATTTCCAATTCAGGAAAGTAATAAGTGTAATATACTGCTTTTGTACATAAAACAATAAATGGAGTTAAGAGCCAGTGGGCATGTGTTCTTTAATAGATCCATCTTTCTCACACTAGCTTTAAAGAGCAAAAATGCCATGCTTTTGTATGTACCATAATATAAGTATTTATTAAAGTACGGGTACATGTTATTAATTCAGAGCTTAACCCTATTTAAAGTTGTTTGTGTCCTTTTCTCACAAGTCATTATCTAAGTTTATATTGGCTGGTACATCTACAAATAAAACAGCAGGGGCAGCCAATTAACATTCTAATTAGTAAAAATAGTCAACATTAAGAAACATTTAAAGAATAAGTTAAAGGCAGGGCACAAAAACTAGCAAACAAATCAAACTACATGTAACCAATGTAATTATACTATTTAAAGGGTTACTCCAAACCTTTTCCTCATATAGAAGCACTTGATTGGACCATTCTCTCTGGCTCAGTGCGTATGGGAGGGAAGGGAGCGAGTGGGGTTGGACACAGTGAAGGGGGTGAAAAGAAAACAAACTTGCAGGAATTTAAGGGTAAATGAAAATGGGAGAGCTGAAACAGGGATGAGAGGGACCATAGATGCTGGGAGTGTGCCTGCTTGGGGAGAAATAAACAACTGTCGCCAGCACATAGGGAGCGCTGGCGACAAGTAGATATTTTTGTAGAAACAGTTTATTATTCTCCAATGCAGAAAAATAAATTCTCAAAACCAATTGGACTTATCAAGACAAGTATGCCGTAGATGAATTCATGAAGATGGTTAGATAATTAGCCTTTATTCAATAGCATGTTTTGTCTTACAGCTGAGGTACAGAGTGAAATAGAAAGAATCTTTGAGCTGGCCAAGACCCTCCAGTTGGTTATACTGGATGCTGATACAATCAACCACCCTGCTCAACTCTCCAAAACATCCTTGGCCCCAATCATTGTATATGTCAAAGTTTCTTCGCCAAAGGTAAGCCAAGAACAATAATATCTGCAAACTTTACAAAATGCCTAAGTATTAGCTCATCAGTTGCTATACCAATAGGATAATTCTGATTTCAGTTTACCTTCCCTAATAATAAAGTGCATAGATGACCAAATCAATGCATTTTTCTTTACTCTCTACTTTTCCTGATGAATTTATTTCACATTGTAGAGAAACACATTTCTGCAGAATCACTACCTCCCCCCTCTTAACATATTACAGAAAGTCTTGAAAGACAAACTTAATTGCTGCATTTCAGTAAAGAGAGGGGAAGATGGATATATTTCTCTGAATACACCGCAGTCGATTTAGGACAGGAGTCTTTCACTCAAACAAACTGTTACACAGTTACAGAGCTGAAAAGAGACGTGTCCATCAAGTTCAGCCTTTTTCACATTTGTTTTTGCTGTTGATCCAAAAGAAGGCAAAAACCCAGTTTGAAATGCATCCAATTTTGCAACAAACTAGGAAAATATTTCCTCTTGACCCCAGAAAGTCAGATATCATTGGATCAAGAAACTATTACCCCACTAATTAAAAATGATATCCCTGTATATTATGTTTTTGCAAGTATTTATCCAATTGCTGTTTAAACATCTGTATAGACTCTGATAAAACCTCCTCTTCAGGCAGAGAATTCCATATCCTTATTGCTCTTACTGTAAAAACCCTTTCCTTTACCTTAGACTAAATCTTCTTTCTGCCAGTCTAAATGACCTTGTGTCCTATGTATAGTCCCTGAATATATTTCTATAATGTTACCATATCCCCTCTGAGATGCAGTTTTTCCAAGATATTTAAATTTGTTAACCTTTCTTCATAACTAAAATGCTCTATTCCTTTTATCAATTTTATAGCCCGCCTCTACATTCTTTCTAATGCCATAAGATATTGTGTTACGACACAATATCATCAAAATTGCATTTACTAGTTAGGATATATCTGTGCAAGGCAGACAACAAAAGCTCCCAAACAGAGCAAAAGTGTTCCATTGGAAACCACTGAAAACTCCTTTAGCTACATAATAGATGCCTTTGTGGTATTCTAGACTTTGAAGGAACATGCCATTGATAACAAACAAAAATACATTCACTATCTAGTAGATAACCCTACGAAGACAACATTGATGTAATTTTTATGCATGTTTTCTTTGGGGCTATATGAAAACACAGCTTGCAAAAGCTGCAGATCTGCACCTTTGCAAGCCCTCCTCTTTATCCCTGGTACAGACTTTCAGTTCGTGCCAGCAGACTGGCAATCAGAAGCCTCTGTAGTTGAGCTGTGATACTCCAAACCTTTTCCTCATATAGAAGCACTTGATTGGACCATTCTCTCTGGCTCAGTGCGCATGCGCACGCTTTGAGTCAGGGAGGGGAGGGAGAGAGTGGGGTTGGACACAGTGAAGGATGGAAGAGGGGGTGAAAAGAAAATAAACTTGCAGGAATTTAAGCGTAAATGAAGGTGGGAGAGGGCACATCCAACTTTCCTTTCATATACTTCTCATTTATGTACTTCTGTTTATTGAGAAGTATTAGAGTGGGCACCTGCTACTTCTGCTAGTTTTGTGGAGCTAAGGGAAGTGGAAGAAAATCCATCTGGCTGCCTGTGTGACAGACAGGGAGGTATTGCAGTGCCCAGTTTAAAGAAGTGCTAATTTGTATTGAAATAAGAACTTTTATAAATTAAAAAAAAATAATAATAATAAGACAGACTCCAGACATGTAAAGCACTTTAGCAAGCTGAAGTGCTTTATTTCTTTGCAGTGTTCCTTTAAAGCCAGTTTTTGGAGAAAATCACATGTCTTGTGAAACCCTCCATAAGGTCTTTCTAGCCATACGATGGCTCCATGCCAAAATGAACTCCTTCAGTGCCAAACACACTGTGGTTCGGAATGAGCAAAAATTACTTCACCGCGTATCCATTTTAATTTTCAGGAATGTGTGCATTGTAGGTGCCGGCATTAATTAGCAGGTATTTATTACAGGTGCTGCAAAGACTAATAAAATCCAGGGGGAAATCTCAAGTGAAACATCTCAATGTTCAGATGCTGGCTGCTGACAAGTTGGTACAGTGCCCTCCGGTAAGAGCCCTATCAAAATAGATTCCCATAGTCTGTATAGCCTGCACTCCACCAACAAACAAGTCAACAGAATTATTGCACTTTTATTAAACATATCGCATGGAAACATTCTATATGCATTTTTATCTGGTAAGATAAAGTGAGTCAGTATGGGATGTATAGTGTATTTCAAAAGTGCTTGTACCAAGCGATTTAAACTTTCTTTCTGTAAAACAACAAATACAAATGTTAACTGGATCCTCAATGATAAAGAGCTTTTATTGTTACACAAACATTCTTCAATAGAAATTTACTTAATTTTACTTAAAAACAGCTAACTAGGTTGCCATCACTTTTCAGGATCCTTATCTTCATCCATCCACACGATAAACTTAACTCATATAATAGTAAATATTGGGACCAAAATGGAACATGGAGCACCATACACATCAAGCACATGCTTCGGCACTCCAGATGTTTTGGACTACACCTCCCTTGATGCTTTGCCAGCATTACGGGTGTAAGAGCATTATGGGGGATGTAGTCAAAAACATCTGGAGTGCCGATGGTTGCCTATCCCTGCACTAGTGTAAATCAATATTTTATATTAAGGTGATTGTGTGCTCTCGCTTTCTGGATGGTTAAGATTTGGATCTAGATTTTACCATTTATGTTTCTGTTGAGTGAGTCATATAAAATGCTGGGTGGTGAATAAAGCCAGCCTTCTAGTATATAACACAATAAATATGACCAAATATACTTACATGAACAAAAAAAAAAATCTACTTGGGGTTATAATGAAAATTGCTGCAGTGCCCTCACCTTAAAAGTAAAATCCTATTGTTCTGTGTGCATCACCTGTATCAGATGGTGGAGTTAGTTGGCATTTCCAAAACAGATTGTAAAACCAAAATGCCTTCATTCATTGACATAAGCATTTATTTGACTTCATTCTAAGTTACTTTACTTGAGTTGACCCACACACATCACACATTCCTTCTCTAGTTGGAATACTGTATACTGTACTCTTTTTTTCATGTTTGTAACAATGGTCATCATTTGTTATTGGAGACTTACACGCTTTATTCAGGAAGCAATCACCTACAGAATTCCATGCAGTTTATCTACCTACCTTTAACCATTGGTTGTGTTTACCTTTAATTATCCAGACAATAGATAACTTAACATTTCATTCCCTGGCTTTACCTTACATCAATAAGTTATGAACACTTCATATTAGTATTGACCCAACCATTTCCAATCTTTCATTCTTTAATATGATGTGGTTATGACTTCAATTTTGCCAGGTAATATTTCTTTATATTTCATCTGCATGCAATTGTTTTTTTATTTTATTCTGCCCTTGTTAAATTTCAAACAATTCCTCTAAATAGTTTTAAAAAAAACAGACTGAACAGCTCACTGTCAGCATCATTATTAATGACCACTTTCGAGTTTCAAAGCATAGTGAAGACAAATGATCCTAGCAACATTTATAGGCGCTGTGGGGGAGAATTATCACATTTTTTGAGACCTGAAAAGTGGGGCAAAGTTCTAAAAATTGGGCAATTGCAATGGAAAGCAACGCATGGACATTCCATTAGTGGTTACTCCAAATTGAGGACTCAGCCTAACTTTTTAGCAGATTGATAAATGTTACTGTCTAAAAAGATGGCCTTTTATGAAAAGTAAAAAATACAACTCAAATATGAATGCAGTTATGCACGAACACACGTGAAATCAAATAACTATGCGAGATTAATTTCCTTTTTTTCCCTTAGGAAATGTTTGATGTGATCCTAGATGAGAATCAACTGGAAGATGCCTGTGAACACCTTGCAGAATACATGGAAGTTTACTGGAGAGCCACACACCACCCTCTGCATGCACATACTGGCCAGAATCTAATGACACCCCCCACTGCCATCCCTGGGTTACAGGTATAGACCCATAATTAGAGATACATAGAAACTATCAAAGTCAGATAACCAAGAAGGCACAACAGAGCACAAGCTAGAGTACAATTCTAAAGGGCAAATAGTAGTAATTACTGCTTTAAGTGGACCTTTGAGATGTTTGTCTCATTAAATCTACTTTCTGAAAACTTGCAGATGACCAGCCATTGTGTGACCTGCTCAAGGGTAAACATTTGTAATTCCAACATATCATTGTGCTTTAATACAGAACCAGCAGCTTCTTTCGGACCGAGCCAGTGAGCATTCTCCCTTAGAACGTGACAGCTTGATGCAATCAGACGAAGCAAGCGAGACTTCCCGAAAGACCTGGACAGCTTCATCACAGAGAAGTTCCCGACATTTGGAAGATGAGTACTCTGATGCCTACCCAGATCTGTACCAGCCCCATCGACACCACAACAGTGGGCTGAACAGCACTAATGGACATGATTCCCAGGATCGACTTCTTGAACGTGATTCTGAGCAGAACCACAATGACAGGAACTGGCAGCGTAACCGTCCCTGGCCCAAGGATAGCTATTGAGATGGACCCACATGCCCTCACCCATCCTACACATATACACACACTCCTGCATGGCAGTGCATGTCAGGAGACACAACCAACTAGTGTAAATTCTATGGGTAGCACCCAGGTGCCCAAGTGCACTGTGGAGAACAAGCAGCCCATCTCAATTTTACCATATGTTTGGTAACTCCTGGCTGCAATACAGGCTAAAGATAGCAGAATGGAGAGGTCTGCTAATGAGTAGCTGCATATTGATAGCACTTGGGTAGAAGCAATGGGTGAAAAAAGAGAGCAAGCGAATAAAGCTACAATTCCTAAACATCCATCAAGGCTGTTAGTAATCTGATTCTGCCAGACCTCTCTATGTAGACCATAGAACCAATACCTACACAATACACACATCCACTAAGTTTACAAAACACGCCAGCGACGACTCAACATGTTGGAGTTCTGGCGCAGCCTGCCATTGTAAAACCAAGCTGATCAGAGTTTTGTGCTTGTGCCAGACTCTCTCCTTTCATTCCAAGCTGGCACATTGTGGGCATTGTACTCTGTACAATAGCATTCCATCCTTGGGCATTATCCTTGTTGTCAGGTAACTGTTGTTCCGCGCTACAAAGAGCGTGTGCCATCCAAAGCAAGATTCTTGGGTCACTCAATCAATCAGACCTAGTTGTAGAACAGAGAAGCAAAAATATCCTGAAATGCAAGCATTTTGTCCAGCAGTGGGTCTGTTTGAGGATTGTATGTTACAGGGAATTGTTGTGTAGTAATGTATACTTCAGGGATATGGATACATTCAAATGCCAGGTTTTTCTTTTTACATGTTTTGCAGATCTAGAATTCTTGCATGTGTGGATTTGTTTTAAGAGCATTTCCTCTTCTTCCTGCTTAGGCATTTACCTAATTTAGGTGCTTCTTGAAAATATTTGCCTATTTTGAGTTGGGTCTATAGGTTGTTGAACTTTCTCTGCATTCTAATGGGATATCAGCGCATAAAGATGATCTGTGCTGTGCAGTCCTAACTGATGTGGACTTTAGGGTTTATTCACTGAAGAGCAATTTGAGGTGCAGTATGCAAAATGTAGGACAAATTAATGGAGTTGGAAAAATTATACAGCTTAAATCAGCTTTCTGATCTTTGGTGATCTTTCAATATTTCATAAATATCCCCTAAGATGACCTCTCCACCTGTAGTGTGGTGGCCTGTCAGTCCAGCGTAAGGCAGATATACTTATCTGAAGTTGTCCTACATGGGTGCATCTTCATTCTTCAGGTCCAGGAGCTACATTAGTGTTGTCCAATCACAGATGTGCAAGAGCACAGCAATGATATCTGGAGGATCTTGCAAGATCATAAGATCCTGCATAGACCATGTCTCTTCATTCACAAGAAGAAGCCTGATTTTATGAATGCTGAAGGAATTGAGAACACTTGGTGGTAAAAGCAGGCTTTACCACAAGACAAACAAGTCCTAGATACATTATATGATGTCGATGGTATATGTCTATGGTCTAGTGACATGGCTTCTTTAGGTGAGTGACTAACTTGTCTAATTCAGCTATCTTAGTCAGAATTCTGCTAGTTAGTCATCATCTTCAACTCTCCTGCAACACTCTGTTTTGTTAATAAACCCCGTGAGTCTCCCATTATCCTTTTGACTTGTGGTAGGTACCTCATGGGATTAATCATGAAAGACATTTTAAAAAGTTCACAGCAGTTCTAGTGCCAAAGGCTGCTTATCCTCTTCCCATTATTGAAAAAAAAAAAACAACAACCTGGAATCACAAGAATTATTACAGACATAGAGTTTATATTATTTGGTTTCATTCATTTTCTAGAAGGGCTTGTTACAAAGAGAAATACTACTAAGTTGTGTAGAGCTGGAAAGGGAGACATAGTCTTGTTTCAGTAAAAGAATTTAGGAGAGGAGTTTTACACTCTTTAACATTCCAAACTTTATAAACCAACTATAATTTTTGTGTCAAAAGAACCAAGGCTATATACTATGAACTATTGTAGCATGACATAAGTAGTGTTTATTCCACTTGATCTTTCAAAGCGCACATGCATTTTTCTATGTTGGTCTCATCATTTTAGGTTTTCAGAATTTCCTCCATCACTCCTACTGTCATAATTACAGACTTAGGCCTCGATTAAATATTTTTTGTATAAGCTTTTCAAATTATATAACATATCTGGATACATTTTTTAAATTATTATTTTTTTCAAATATTAAAATATTAAGAAATATATCAAATATAAAAATGTCTATATATCAAAAAAAGTTATATCATTTTTAAAAATATTAAATTATTTGAAATGTTTATCCAAGAATATTAAATTATTTGAAAAACGTATCCAAACATATTAAATCGACAACTTGATCTAAAAAGAAATTAAGACATACTGGCATATTAATTTTGGCTTATTAGAGTGGTTATGGTGCTGAATCTTTGCGTGGCTGAGCGTGCTGAATGCAGTTGCAGATGTGCTGGGTGTTTTGGGTAGCCAGAGAGCTCCAGTTTTTGTTCAAAAGTTTATCAGAAAACAGGACAGCACCCCAATAAAAAGCATAGCACTACAATGTGCTTTAGTGGTTATAGTGATTAGAGTACCTTTTAAAGATCCGCAATGCAATGTTATAATATGAGTTTCAAAGTACTGATTGTTTATGACAGTACAGAATATTATTTGTATTTAATGAGTTAAATAACCCATAACATTAAGCTTATTAAGACTCAAGTAGAGCAATGTAATGTCAGAACTTTATCTTAAAACAAGAATTGGTAAAGGTTGTATAGATAAACAGCAAAAGAATGCTATCCTAAAGAGGCATTACTAATCATGCAAAACAAATCACAACTCTGTATACAAAAGGATTCACATCAATATGCAACCATAAATCAATTATTTTATTATACAATCAAAATATATAATTTACAACAAACAAACACCAAACAGCTATAACATGCTGTCTCTCGAGAAAGGCAGAACGTCAGGTGCCGAAACGTTGGGGGTTTACTGTCCCACGTGTCCAGCCCTTTGAGTGTTGTATTGAGTTTTTTTCCTGTGGTTCATGGTTATTATAGCCCCTATCGCTATTCTCTGTTGTGACTTAAAACAGAATTGTCCCTTTGCAGGTTTCATAAATACTCTGAATTTCACTGAAATTGCAATTCAGTCAAAAGATCTACTGAGACAAAGTAGGGACTTCTTCCAGCGTCTGACACTGCTTGACACTGGGTGGAGCCCCAGCTGTCGGCTAAGTTGTAACATTTCCCCCAGTCATCATCAGTGATGGCTCCAGTGAAATTAGCTCTATCTGTGGAGGATCCTCCATAGACCACAAAGCTGTACTTTAGCGAGAGTACAGCAGTGATATTGGCTCCAGGCAGCTGAACTGCTAAGAACAGAACAGGACTGGCAGGAAGTCAATGGCGGCACTTGTGAGCGATAGCTTCAGGTAAGTAAAACCCACCTTTGCCTGGTCCCTCGACCACCGGACGCCCATTGGCAATGTTACCATCAGGCTGACAGGTCCACTTTAAACGTATCCACTTCCTTTTTAAACCAGTGTTGTTTTTCTTGTTGTACTGTAGAAAAAGTAGGAATTATTCATACTTAACTATTCTTTAGCAATTGCCACGTGTATATGTATGTGTGTGTGTGTATATATATATATATATATATATATATATATATATATATATATATATATACACACACACACATTTACATACATACACTGCTGTTAGTGTGCTGTATGTATGAGGGTGCTGTGTGTGTGTGTGTGTGTGTGTGTGTAACGGTGCTGTGTGTGTAAGGGTGCTGTTAGTGTGTGTGTATGAGGGTGCTGTTAGTGTGCTGTGTGTGTGAGAGGGTGCTGTTAGTGTGGTGTGTGTGAGGGTGCTGTTAGTGTGGTGTGTGTGAGGGTGCTGTTAGTGTGCTGTGTGTGTGTGAATTTGTTTGGAGTGATTGTGTGGGGGGGACAGATTAGGAAAGAGCCCCCCTCCCTTCTTACCTTTTGCCTGGGAGGGGGATCTTTGCTGCCATCTCTGATCCCTGGTGGTCCTAGTGGTGAGTGAACTCAGGCCTGCAGGGCTAGAGTTCACTCCTGCGAGATCCGAGTGTTGCCGCTCTGACCTCGCTAGAGGAACCAGGGAGGAGCTGCTGGCTAAAGCTCCTCGGGTCCTCTCCTGCCTCCCTCCCTGCCTGTGGGCCGGTGAGAGAGATCTGTGATCTCCCCTGCCGGCCCCGATCCATGCGCAGGCCACAGGTATTGGGGTGTGCCCAGGCCTATGAATTTACCCACAATCCATCAGTCAAAAGAATCCCACTGAAGTGGCAAACTGTTGACATCATGAACACAGGAGAACAAAATGAAGGTGCTCTGTTATTGAGGTTTGGTGAATGGAAAAAGATAATTTTAAATTAAGGCATGTGGCAAGTAGGGGAGTATAAGATACAAAGGGTATAAGGAAAGGAAAAAAAATACAGTGCTAATTTAAAGAGTTCCACTTACCACTGCACTATATATGTTTTATGTTACGTAGTTCTTACAATGAAAGAAATTCTCCAGGCACCTACTATGAGGTCTTGTTAAAGACCTCATAATAGGTCGAAACGTTGCTGCTCTCTTTTTGTTCCATTAAAACTGCCTGCGGCTTTAACACCTTGAGTGCCTGGAGAATTTCTTTCATTGCCTTGACGTTGTGGGATTGCTGGTCCTGCTCCGGGGGAACCGGGTTGCTGCTGGAATTGAGTGCGGCTCCTACCAACACTTTTGCAACATAGTTCTTACTAGGCAGAAACTATTGTACTATACACCAGACCAGTAGACTCCAGATTTAATGGACTACATATCCCCTGATGCGTTGCCAGCATTGAGGCTGTAAGAGCATTATGAGAGATATAGTCCACAACATCTAGAGCTCCGTAGGTTGTCTACCACTGCACTAGACAAAGTGGAAAATCCCGATGATGTTACTGACAGCCACATCTTGTTCATGGGTCAGGCAGAAGAGTGATTTAATAGTACAATAAATCATTAATGTGAGACGAGAACTGAACCTCCTGTAGGAGAGTGGTACAGTATAAGTACTACTTTACAAACATATTTCATTATGGTTATCAGCATGTCAGATAGAAGGTATATTTACTTGTTTGGTTATTTAGTAAGACATACTTTTATTCAGTAAGCATGTCAATTCTATATAAGCACAGACTTGACATCAGGTAAAATGAATGTAAAAATATTGATTGGTACACCTGTCTTTTTAAAAACATTGTGCTTATGGTAAGCCTGAAGAAAGGACTGTACAAACTCACAGTTTGCAGCTATTATTATAAAGCATTGTAGTCTAGTAAATAATCGATATGTCTAGGGCAAAATCAATATGCCAATGGAAAAAGGAAAGTACCCCAGCAGTCAGAAGTGGCCTTATGTGTTGTGATATTAGGAAGCCATATTTATGAAAACTGTTTAGTTAATTAAATCAAAGGCTGATAAATGACTATTGTCCAGTTGCTTATGAGGATGTGATTCACAGGATAGACTATGAATATATCTGGGAATTCTCAGGTTTTGACTGTGAGCCTCAGGTTTTTGACTCCAGACTCATGGTTTTAGGATAAATGGGAAAATTCTCAGGGTGCTAGATCCAGTGACTCCTTATTAAAGCGTTAAAGGATATATTTTTATTCCTGACAAGTTCAATTTTCTGCATGTACTGCATGTAGAACCAGTTGGCTACCACAGTCCAGTGAATCCCTATGTAAAATAATCATAATGGACTATTATATTACATATTTTAGGGATTCTCAATTCTCAGGTTTTTCACTGACTGATAGCTCATAAAGCAATTTATTTTAAAGGGAATAATCTGGGCACCATAACAACTTCATCCAGATGAAGTTGTCATGGTTCTTATAGCTTCTGGGCACTGTCTTACCCTAAGGGGTTAAACCATTTACAAATGGTTTAACCCTTACGGAAACACGATGCCCATGCCCTCCAAGTACTATAACAACTTCATTTTATGGTTCCCAGAGTGTTTATTTAAGGATAAAATAGGAAGACCAGGTAAAACATGTTCATATGGGTCTATGCTCACCCAACAAACTATAATTGCTCCCCTGTGACTAAATTGTATGATTAGAGATACAGTTATCTCTGATAATTGAATAGTGATTTATCATTTGATGTATTTAAACAGTAATAAACTCTTTGATTACAGAATCCAGCCTCTGGGCTCATGAGACACATTTCAATATTTAGTCTGGTGGCTTTTGCAATTACTGCCAATGCTATTGAGCTGAGAATGCAAGATTTAGATGGCCTGCTTAAAATATTTTCAACATAATTAAGGTCAACAAGTGAAGGAGGCTAATGAATGTGTTGAAAAGGTCAACAGGAATGGCTGTAGAGGGGAATAATATAACAGAATCAATAATACCAACAATGGTTGTTATAGTATTTTGAATTTAAAATAAGAATACCAATCAAATTAAATCTGGTACCTTAAAATAGCTTTCGAATTCCGCAGTCCACTCTTTTGGAAGTAAAAAATCTTGTAAAGTGCAGATATATTATTGAAATATAACAAACCTATTTGGCTGGTGGGCTTATACGGTGAATTGATGACTAAATTGCTAAATTTAGGACAAAGACCGCAGTCAGTGAAAATACTTTTCCAACAAGAACATTTTGGTGTATACTGTGTGTGTTTCTGCATCCAGTTTGGAAGGAAGTATTGCTGCTATTATGGGAACACTGTTAGGAATTTCAAGTGAATTCAATGCAAATTTCAAACCTAATATCAAATAGCTGAATTTTAGAAAATTCTCCAAGTTAGTTGTGCTTCCAGGTTGGTTATTTTTGACAAAAATTTGAAATTCACTTAGAATTCAGCACAACTTTCACTTTAATAAATAGCCCATTTAAAAGCTTAGTACATATATTCAATGCTTATTACTTTATTCCATGGTCTAATTTTGCTTGGTCTTGAGAGTTAAGTCAATACATGTTTAATTCACAAATTAGTGATATTAGTGGACACTATAGTCACCAAAACAACTTAGAAACATAGAATGTGACGGCAGATAACCATTCGGAACATCTAGTCTGCCCAACTTTAGCTTGATGAAGCAGTTTTAGTGTATAGATCATGCTCCTGCAGTCTCACCACTCAATTCCCTGCCATTTAGAAGTTAAATGGCTTTGTTTATGCAGCCCTAGCCCTAGTGAAGTTGTAAGATGGTGGTGCACCAGAATATTACTCCTTCTTACACAGCATAGAGATATCCATATAATACAGAGCTGGGTAGACTACAGATACCCATACACTGGGAAGAGCTAAATAAAAAACAGAGAAATAACACACAGAGCTGGGCAAAATAAGGTGATAATATAAGTATCCCACACATCCAGGATCACTGTGATGGATCTTACAGAGTTGCAATGTAGAGATACCCATACAGTGCCTGTCTCTGCAAAATGTTTAGCTCTCTCTATATTCCTGGCCCTCTCTTAGCTCTCCCTTACATGATCTCATCTTCAGTAGTGCTCCTGCTATGATAACTTTAGCTTTCTATTAAACATTGCTTCTGTTGTGAAAAATGTCAGCTACTTCATTAGCTCTCAGCACACCGTGTGCACATTGTTAAACAGCAGGCTACTGATAGACTCATTATCTTTGCATCTAGCAATATAATTAATCAGCAGTGGTAATATGGAGCCAAGAAGGAACTGACATGGTTAACAGAATCAACAATTATTACAGATTAAAACAGATTGAAATCAGATCAGTCTTTAGAGTCACAGCCCCAGTCCCGCAGTTTGAAGCTTCACAACTTTTCAACTGGCCACAGCATGAGTGTTTCAGCTGTAGAGTGACTGAGCATTTGGAAGAAGATGGTGGGTATGTGCATATCAGCCCTCAGGCAGCCACTTGGGCTATTGGGGTAAATAAAAAGATAATACTATACATGTATATTTAGCAGGGCCAGGAGCTGCTGCTACTGTGCTCTCTGTGTTACTTCCAAGATGGCCATTTGCTTCCCTCTCCTGTGAGCACTGTAACCTCATCCCATGGTGCTATCAGCTAATGATGAACAGAGAGGCCAATAGCATGCCTCCACTCATGGGCAGCTGATTGGCAATTCCTTCTTATGGACACTAGGTACGTCCATAACCTGGTGAAACGGCACATATTTTAAACCAGCCCCATTTTTTGACATGACTAGATGCTCTCAAGCAAACTTCTCCAAACAGCTACTGAGGGGAAGGTGCACTGCAGCACTGAGATCTATTACATAATTAGAAAGACACTATTTTTGTCCTATATTTTCTGTCTTACTACCCTTCCATCCAGAAAAAAATATTTGTTTCTTATCTTCTATAAATAAATTGTTTCCCCAGATAACAACTGCTGGGCGTTGCCCCAAGTGCCCCTATGATTGAGGCACCACTGCTAGTCACATCTCCTAGCAAGTAACATGCACAGCCTTCATAAACACTTCCTGTAATTTGAGATCTAATGTTTACCCTTCCTTTATTGCAAATTTAGTTTCATTTAGAATTTCTTATCTCCTGCTTTGTTAATAGTGGTGTGGCTAGGGCTGTATGGAGAGAAATAAAAGTGATTTAACGCCTACATAGCAAAGAACTGAGCAGTGACACTTCAGATGCATGATCTATACTCTAAAACGGCTTCATTAACCCCTTAAGACCGGAGGGCGTACTATTACGTCCTCTAATAGGCGGCTCTAAACGCCGCCGGGCGTAATAGTACGCCCTCCGGTCTTTCTGTACTTACCCGGTCGCCGGCGGTCCCACGCCGGCGATCGCGGTGGGGGGGACTCCAAGGGAGCCCCCCGCGGCACGACCGTTCTCCAGGAAGCCCCCTGGCCGTGTGAGAGTGGGGTCCTAGCGAGGACCCCACAATCACATGGCCGGGTATAGCTGGCTTCTGTATTGCCAGCAGGGGGGCTGCCTGTAATTACAGGGGGTCCCCCTGCTGGCTGAAAATAAAAGTAAAATAAGTTAAAAGTGTAAAAAAATAAAATTATATATACTTAGATCATATATATATATTATATATATATGATCAAAGTATATATATACACATATACATACACACATGTACAGCATCTAGGTGTATTTTACTATTAATATATATATAATTATATATATATATTAATATCAAATTACACGTAGACTGATACTGATTAAATATATATATAATTATTGTTATATATATATTTATATATATTATAAAAAAATTAAAATGTAAATACGTTAAAAAATAAAATTAAAAAAATAATTAAAAATAAATAATTAAAAAATATATAGATGTGTGTTATTTCGCTCTAACTGTATTGTGAAATTAATATATATATATATATATCAAAATACACATAGAACGAAATAATATATATATTTATACACATAAATATATACGTATATATCACTATATATATACCTATATATAAATAAAAATATTTTAAAAAAATTATATAGATATATACATATATATACACATACGTATATATATACATATATTTATTCTACATATATATTTATGTAATATTTTTACATAATTAGGTATCTTAATTAATTACAATTAGCAGGACCTGCATGACAACCCATGCCGAAAGTAAAGGGAATTTAATTTGCTAGCACTATCTTTAACCCTATAACTTTCCGAGACACCATAAAACCTGTACATGGGGGGTACTGTTCTACTCGGGAGACTTCGCTGAACACAAATATTAGTGTTTCAAACAGTAAAATGTATTACAACGATGATATCGCCAGTAAAAGTGACGTTTTTTGCATTTTTCACGCACAAACAGCATTAAACGGACAATATTATTGCTATGATACTTTTTACTGTTTTGAAACACAAATATTTGTGTTCAGTGAAGTCTCCTGAGTACAACAGTACCCCTCATGTACAGGTTTTATGGTGTTTTCAAAAGTTACAGCGTCAAATATAAGGCTTGTGTTTCATTTTTTTCACATTAAAATTCGCCAGATTGGTTACGTTGCCTTTGAGACCCTATGGTAGCCTAAGAATGAAAATTACCCCTATGATGGCATACCATTTGCAATAGTAGACAACCCAAGGTATTGTAAACAGGTATGTCCAGTCTTTTTTAGTAGCCACTTAGTCACAAACACTGGCCAAAATTGTTTTTTGCATTTTTCACACACAAACAAATACTAACGCTAACTTTGGCCAGTGTTTGTGACCAAATGGCTACTAAAAAAGACTGGACATACCCCATTTGCAATACCTTGGGTTGTCTACTATTGCAAATGGTATGCCATTATGGGTGTAAATTTCATTCCTGGGCTACTATACAGTCTCAAAGGCAACGTAACCAATCTGGCGAATTTCAATTTCAAATGTAACGTGCTATATTTGACCCTGTAACTTCCCAAAACGCCATAAAACCTGTACATAGGGGGTACTGTTTTACACGTGAGACTTTGCTGAATACAAATATGTGTATTTTATTGCAGTAAAAGCAAACAGTATTATGACACTGACCGTTAAAATGTCATGTAGAACTAAAAAAATCCAAAAAAATCGTATTTTCTCCCATTTTTTTCATATTAAATTATGTTTCATAGCTAAATATTTGATATTAAATGAAAGCCCTGTTTCCCCTGAATAAAATGATATATAATAAGGGTGGGTGCATTTACTATGAAAGAGGTGAATTACGGTTGGACAGACATGTAGCGCAAATGCCAGGTTTTGTTTACATTTTGTTTTGTTCACAACGTGTACATTTGGCTCCGTCCTTAAGGGGTTAAACTAAGGTTGTTTTGGTGACTAATGTGTCTTTTTTTCTTATCCCATAAACTCCTGGCATGGGATATGTAGTTCAAGCTGGTAGCTGCCATTACGTCATAGCCTTTTATGCATGTATGTGCATGCGTGTGACAGTATCTCATGCTCTCATCTCAGTTGGTAAAAGAAATATGTTGTCCACGTTGTTCGTGTAGGAAAAATAATATTTTCTTTAATATCAGAAATCCACTAAACTATTTTATAGCTACAGAGATTTTTTTAAACTTTTTTTTAAATCAATGCAGTGATATGAGTTGGGTACTCCCTGCAAAGTAATGTGCATTGATGTAAGGTTGTTATGGTGCTTAGAGTGGTCCTTTAGTACTATGAGGAAAACAAAAATCAGACAATTCTTTTTAGTGTAAATACAGATGTTTTGTGATGCGAGGAATCGTCAACTGCCTCTGTGTAAAACTGCTTTGTTGCCATGGAAACAGCCAGGTACAACAGACAATGTTACATTAAAAGTATAATGTAATTAAGCTCTTTTGGGGTTATTCATCAAAGTGTGAATTGTTGGCAATTTAAAGTGAATAGCAATTTCTAGGGCAAAATAGCTGAATTGTAAAAAATCTCAGAGCCTAAGTTTTCAATTCAGCAGCTGGGCTTTATTTGAACTTCACTTTGAATTTCCAACACTACACAATCACACTCCTATTACTCTCAGGCAGACAGCCTACTACATTACAGTAGATCAGGGACAGGCAACCTTTGGGGCTCCAGATGTTGTGGACTACATACCCCATAATGCTCTTACACCCATAATGCTGGCCAAAACATCTGGAGTGCGGAAGGTTGCCTGTGCCTGCAGTAGATTATTCAGTGTCTCACCTCCCTGCCTTCAGCTGAGCTCTGCATGTGGGGACTTACAGGGAGGAGTGACGTGAGGCTGCAATGTTGTGCCTCATTTGAGCAAGTTATCAGTAATATCGGCAAAATGCTGAATATCAGCTCTAATAATCGTCCTTTCCCTCATATATATATACACTGGATAATAATTTGCTATATAGAACTTTTTTATATTTCTAAATTTGCATATAACTAATTTTATTGTCTGCCTGTTTATAGTTTTATAACATGCAAACACGGGGTAACCCATGTTGTGTCTCTGGCATGAAGATCTGTTGTAATTTATTTCTAGATCTGACATATCACCATTTTTGTATCGTGGTTCCCAGGGTCTTGCTATAATCTGTTAACTGTTTTCACACAGGTAGCAGCTGAATTCCTCTTACTATGAGGACCGGAAGGGAGGAGGGCATGCCAGTGACGCAAATTGCTTTACAGTTGACAGGCCCAGCTGTATAAGGAATATCTTAAACATTCTATGAAATAAATGGCTATATAAGAACTGTAGTCAGTTTTGTCCTAGTATGACAGAATAGTATAGAAAAGGTTATCCCCTCAAGAGGATCTATCATGCAAACATTTTTTTACACTATCATATCATTTAAAAAAAACTGCCTATATAGTTTCCTAATATTTCTAAAAAAAATGTTCAGTAGCCTTTTTAATTAAAATTGAAAAGGATGTATAGCTAATATAAACTTCCTAAAATCATGGATGGCACTAGGGTTAGCAGATCCACCCTGTTTTCCTGGACCCTTATCACTTCTTAATAGCACATTGAAAGTGTCGCCCTTTAGTATGTAGCATTCACATGCAGGAATGCCATCAGAAATTTTGTGGCCTGTATATAAAACTCACCCATATATTTTTACTAGAAATGTTTAAGAAAAAAAAACATGTACCATAATTGATAAAGGGATGTGGTGTAAGTGCGGGGGGGGGATGTAGTGTGTGTGTGTATAAGGGAGGAGGTGTGTACGGTGGATGCAGTGTATGTGTGTAGGGTGAGAAGGGAATATATATATATATATATATAAACAAAAACACACGTTTTGTTTTGTCTTATTAAAGTTTTTTCCCCCTCCCTGCTTCATACCTAAGGCCTTGAAGGGGAAACACGACATTCCTTAGTGGTCCTGTGGTACTTTAGACACTCTCTGCCTTCACCTCTGCTTGGTGAAGGCTCTTCTCGCAAGCCCTGGTACTATGTGATATCGGACAAGCTAGGGATAGATCCAGGCAGTGGAGGTGATGGCTGAGAGTCTCCCGAGCAAGCCCTTGCGATACAAGCCTGCAATGACCCGGGGAGGGAGAACTTCGATCTCTCTTTGCTGCAGCTGTATATCAGGTGATACACAACAGTAATGTTGTGTGTGTATACATATATATTATTATTATTGCTATATATATATATATATATATATATATATATATATATATATATACTGAACATAGAGCCCATTACATGTGTAGGGGCTGTACCCCTCTGACGGTGGACCTGTTCATAGGCCGCAGGATTCCTCTTTGATAAATGAACATAACTCCTCCCTACCGGAGTAATATAAATTCTACACACCGCATGGTGGACACAGGGCAACCCTAAATAGCAAGTAGAGGATATTCAAACAATAATTTCCTCTTGCTGGCACCATAGAATGCTGGGAAATAAACATGTCGCCTGTCTGAATCTTACTCTCTGATTGGCTGCTAATATCACATGTTCCCCGGAGCTATGATTAACACACTACTCCACCTGTATGCTTGAAAAATTGTAATATAATCACTTGTCAGTCAATAGAGTAGAAAAACACCAATATCTTAAAGTGGTAAGAACAGCTGTATTTTCTATAGCTTTAGATGTAAATAATATGTTTCACTTGGTAGTATCATTGCAAGTGGATTTACATAGTTAACATTTCAGGTAGAATTAAAGAAGTAAGTATGAACTTATCAACAACCAAACTTACATAGATCTGCAAATTGACGAGTATTATTACTTTAGTGAATATTGAGCCTTAGTAATAAAATAGGTGGGTTTCTAAACCAAAAATGAATAACAGGAAAGTGAACTCTGATATAGTGTCTAGGTGCTTTGGCAAAGACAATTTTTAAAGTTAGTTTTGTGTTGAAGAAAAAAAAACGGATAAAATGTATCTTTAATAGATGGACTGTTCTAAAACATGTCGGTGGACGTCTCATTAAAAAGATTGAATCCTCTTATGTACGTACCAATTGTTTATGTTGATCACACATGTAACATATTTATAGAAGCGCTTACATCAAGGGTGCAATAAAACATAGAGTTCAAGTTAAGGGTTCCGCTATTATTACTTTTGTTTTTCGATTTTCTCTTTTGCTCATTGCGATAGCAGAGGCTGCTCTGCCCTTTAAGAGAAAATTAAAAAAACTAAATATAGGAAAGTCCAGCCAAAGGGATAAATGCACTAAACAGGTAATTGGGGTGAATCAGAATGTAAAAGTTTAGAACAAAATGGCTGAGTTTGGGCATGAAAGTGCTGCCCTCCATTATATGGATTTTATTATTTACGCATGTGAAAATTGTACCTGAGACCTCAAAGGAACTACTTTGTATCTGACAGAATACATCATTCCTTTACATGGTTGTTATTAAGTGAGAATTCAAAGTGAATTTCAGATTTAAGGTCAAACAAGCTGAATTGAAAAAAAAAAGTCTAAGTCAGTTATACTTTCAGTTTGGCTACTTTGGCCTACAAAAGGGGTAGGCAACCTTCGACACTCCAGACATTGTGGACTACATCTCTGATGTTTTTCCAGCATGATTGCTGTAAGAGTATTATGGGAGATGCAGTCCCAAACATCTGGAGTGTTAAAGGTTGCCCACCCTTGGTCTACAATGTGAAATTCACTTGGAATTTCCACTTTAGCAAATAACCCTGTCAGTGTCCCACAAGTACACAGCGATCTGTCCAACCTATGTTCCACTACTTTTCAAAACTCCCTTGCCTATTCACATTCAGTCACTGTTTACCGAATAACCCCCAACAGGATTTCGAAGCTCAACGAACGCTACTTGCACAATGAGAACACTACACATAATAAGAATACAATGGTATTGGGAAATACGAGAAATAAAATTACACATGATGATGCTGCTGACAATGTTGTGCACAACATAATTAGTTTTAGATAAGTCAACCATCCCTTGTATCAGATAGGAGTGTTCATAAACCTCTAGGAAAGGTACTGGGACTTCATGTCAACTTTTGATGTATGCGCATGTTTACTTTCTGTTGTAAGAAGATGTTCCTTTCTGTACCACTTGTACTACTTCTGTATCACTGGCAGGAGACAGCACGTTGTAATGTATGATGAACTGTATGGTTACTGTAGAGAATGAGTGGAAAATAGCAAGTGAATGCAATCTCGTTGGTCTGATTTACGCAACGCTGCCATTTGCTTTCAAACCATCTCTGCTACCATTGTAGAAATTGCCTCTTCCACGGCAATCGTTCGTATGGCATGTTTGAATGTTTTGAACAATTTGCACAATATGCGATAGTGAGAATTAAATAAGTTGCACTTCCTGTATTAGAGCCTGCACGTAACAAAAAGAAGAAAATGTGCTTGTTAGACTTTCCTTTAATCTGTATTTTTTATTTTTTGAGAGCCGGTGGGGGGAGCTTTGTGAACACAGCTCAAACTATCTGCATCTCAGAGGGTTAAACATGTAAATAGTAGTTCTGAGTTTACACTTCACTTTTGAAAAGCCTTTTTTATTTTCTAAAAGCCATTCTGTGTTTTCTATAAAATATAAACCTATATATATGAAAAATATATAATGTTGGTACAATCTGTTTTTTGGGGTTGGTAATAGTGGGAGCAAATGATGACTAACGTTACCAGAATGCAGGATATATAACACAATCAGGGCAATCTATAACAAATTGTGTTATTGTCAGAATGTATTTTTAATTGACTGATTACCAGACCGTTGCCGAAATGCTGCTCCCAGTAGCAAAATGCCGTTCTCCAATTTTTCAGCAGGGGAACTCGAAATCTGCAGTCTGATGTATATTTTAGGGTAAAAGAAAGAAAAGGAATCTATCATGACACTTTTTCTATTCTGTATATTTAAATATATGTCTGTATGATGTCGCCCAGTGTTAAAGCATAAACCTGGCATTTACCCTCACGTTACCTGTTTTTTTATTTGTTCATTTCTAATTAAATTATCTACTGATATCAATGATAAACTTAGTCCATACCACAAATATATTTTCACATCACACATCTGGGATGCCAGAGGCATGGTCACAAGTGTATATATGGTAAATGGTTAGAGGCGCTTTAACATGAAGAAAGTGTTCTTGTACAGCTGTGAATGCAATCAACAATGACATCACAAGTCTGTGTTACATCACAATGACATCATATGCTGTGATAACATAAAGCTAAACCAGGATAGTGAGAATCAGATCCAAAACTAGGATTGCCCCACCAGATCCGGGGAGATTGGGAGGGGTGGGCCAGTTCGGATAAAGCATAAAAACATGACATTGTATGTATCAGCTGATTCTACCTATTGTTATTAATCAGAGATCAAAATAATCTATATTTGGTTTGATATCACTGATACTCAGAGAAGAACAAAAAACAATGAGTTTGGGGGAGTTGTCTTCCAAGTTCCAAAATGTATAGAAGAGAGTTCTGCATAAATTTAAATGTGAAAGTATTTTGGTTTATAATACATGAGTAGCAATGTGTTTTCAAAAATATTACATCACTAGAGGCAGAGCTACTCAACAAACAGTGTTAGATTGTATTTGCTCCTGCTTGTAATTAAATCTATATGTATTGGTGGATATAAATAAACCCAATACCCTCCACTAATTTAAAAAATTGTTATTTCATGTGTAGCTCAGTCTTGTATGGCCACACAGCTGTGGTTGTTCCAAAATGTGCCGGGCCACACTTATAATAAACTTAAAGGGATATTCCTCTTCCCCCTCCCTCCCCCCATAACAATGAAATAATCACTATTTAGTAGGTAAACTCACAATGAAAACATGCATTTAATCGTAAAAAAAAAATCACTAGGGGTATATCTAAAAACAGCCTGCAAGAGCTGCAGTTATTTTTTGTTTGTTTTTTGCCTGCAGCCTTGTCTTTGAAATCCAGCCCAGAATTTCATTGTCTATCCAAACACAGACTCCCCAATGCAACGCAGTCAGAAGTCTTTGCAAGTTAGGTGCTCTGGGCAATTACTGCCTCTTGAGTTTGCCTCTGAAACACTGAACTGAACTACCATGAAGTAGCAGAACCGGTTGTCTGATTGACAGCAGGGGTGTAGCAAGGTTAGTTTATAAAAGTGACAATTTCTATTGAAATCTGCAGTTTTTGTAAAATGAATAAAAAAGGCTACACTCCTCACATAAAGCACTACAGCAAGCTAAAGTACTTTAGGTGTTTGGAGTGTTTCTTTAATCGAAATGCATAACAAGAAGAAGAAGAAAAATAAATGTACAAACAATTAGATTCATTGGAAGGAATGAGCAGAAAATAGATCACTACATAATATGGATTTTAAAAAAAGCTTCCAATCCACCAAGTTCAACCATTTTCACTCTTGATCCATAAAAATGTAAGCAATTTCCAAGTGTTCCTCAGGAAAAGAAAAAAAATTCTTCATGATTCCAGTGACAATCATATTTCTTTACTAAAATTCAGTATTATTTTGCCAAAAAGACATCCAGACCTCCTGTAAAATTATAAACAAAATCTAGCAAAATAACATCTTTTGGCAGAGAATTCTATATTTTTATTGTTCGTAAAGAATCCTCCATCTGCTATAGGTAAAATCTCTTTTAATTAAGTCTCAATTTATGACAACCTCTTAATTATTGAATTTACGTGAAAAAAAGGGTTGTTCTGAAGAGCTCAGTGAATTTAAGCATGGTAGTGTGATAGGATGCCACCTTTGCAAGTCAAGTCATGAAATTTCATCCATGTTATATATTCCACGGTCAACTTAAGTGGTATTATTAGAAAGTGGAAGTGTTTAGGAACGACAGCAACTCACAAAGCACAAAGCAGAAGACCACATAAAGTTACAGAGTGGGGTCCATGAGTGCTGAGGGGCATGGTGCGTAAAAGTCACCAACTTTCTGCTGATTCCATAGCTGAAGCGTTCTACACTTCTACTGGCATTAATATCAGAACTAAAACTATGTGGTTGGAGCTTCATGGAATGGGTTTCCATGGCTGAGCAGCTTTATGCAAGCCTCATATCACCAAGTACAATTCCAAATGTCGGATTGAATGGTGTACAGCATGCCGCCACTGGTCTCTGGAGAAGTGTAAATGTGTTCTGTGGAATGACAAATCCTGGTTCTCTGTTTGTCAGTCTGATGGGTGCAGTCTGCCTAACTGCATTGTGCTAAATGTAAAGTTTGGTGGAGGAGGGATAATGGTATGGGGATGTTTTTCACTGGTTTGTCTAGGCCCCCTTACTTTAGTGAAGGGAAATATTAATGTTTGAGCATACCAAGGCATTTTGGGCAGTACTATGCTTTCAAACAGTTTGGGGAAGGCTATTTTCTATTCCAGCATGGCTGTGCTCCAGTGCACAAAGCAAGGTACATAAAGACATGGTTGGATGAGTTTTGTGGAAGAACCTCTAACTCTATTCGGGAGGGGGGCAAATTGCCACTCAGAAACTTGCTGCGAACATTACCATCTTGCCAAAGGAGGGCAAGGATGTGGAGTGGTGTGCCAGCTATAGATCGTATCACTTCTCAATTGTGACCTCAAATTATTTGCAAGAATATTGGCCATGAGACTACAGAAATGTATCCCTGACCTGAAAGGTCTAAACGATCAAGAGTCCTCGACTACAGTGAAGAAATGTATCCCTGACCTGATTCATAAAGACCATGTCGGATTTATTTCCCGCAGAGAGGCTAGAGATAGCATGATACAGACCTATCCCTTTTGTATCGCTCTAGAATGACCTCAGAGCGCCTTCTCCTGTTGTCTACTGACGGGAAAGAAGGCCTTTGATTGAGTGAATTAGAAATGTATTTTTGCAACTTTGATGCACATGGATCTGGGATCTAAGATGGATACAAGTACTGTACAAGGGTCCCACAGCACAAGTTTATATTAACAGGCCAACTCCCAATTCAGAATGGCACATGTCAGGGTCTACTACAGCCATTAAATATCTGGGGGTGTGGATTCCAGAGGACCTCTATCGCTTGAATTCCCCCCCTATGTTGTCAGTACTCCGCGCAGACTTAAATTGTCTCTGCCTCACCTGTCCTGGTTAGGCATTGTGAACATGCTGAATATGAACTTTCTTCCCAGACTTCTGTATCTTTTTTAGATGTTGACTATAGCAATACCTACTGCCTTTTTTTCCTCATTAGAAAAAAGGGAAAACTTTTCGCAACTGGCCCTGACAAAGTCCAGAGGAGGTCTGGCGGTGCCGGATTTTAAGTTGTGTTATAATGTTTGCCACCTTTTGAGGGTGGCTGAATGAGCAAAGGAGGGGACGGTCGTCCACTGGAAGGAGGTGGAGCAGGTCCAGGTGGACAGTCCTTTGCAGGTCCTTTTAGAGTTAGATAAAACATTTGGCAGACGACTACCTATCTGGGGCTCCCTAGCACAGTCACTGAACCTCTCCTCTTTTCCCTCTCCACTGACCCTGTCAATATTTAAGCCATCCTTTCCCCCTTGCCCGGAACCTGAAGAATTTCAGGTGATGCTTTCATAAGCGGTCCCCCAGGTTAGTCATGTTATGGGATCGGATGGCTAGGTTCCACTGTGGACGCTGCTGCAGGGATCATAATCACGACTTTTATGCAGCAATTTTGGTTTAATTAGGTTGTTGCTTATCTGCGAGGTTGAGTGTCGGTGTCTTGAGCGAGACCTGACACGCTTTGAGACAATGTGTTTTGAAGCTGCCCCTCTGGAGCATAGGATCTATTTTCTGTACGCCACTCTTCAGCAGCAACACAATTTCCGAACACCATCATTTTTTGGTTGCTGAGAGAGACATGTCACTAGATACCATTTTTTCAGGTCACCTGTGGGAGAAGATTGTAATTTGATGTAATTGATCATGTATGTTGGAGATGCTAGGACGCTCTGGGCATTTTCCCTTAACATATGGTGGGAGTGTCCCTGAATAACCTCCTTCAGAAAAAAAAATATGACCTTAATAAGGGGTTCACTAACCATCCCCCTCCTTTTCAGCCAGCGTCATTCCTTCTTCACCAAACCTCACTGGCGACTTTGTGTAAAAAAAAGTATTAGACCATTCTGTGACAAAACCCACAATTTTGCCTATGTCCAAGATATCCTCCTCCTACGTACAATACTAGGTTACCAAACCCCATTCATGTTTTCCCCATTTGGGAACTACCCTCTCCCGAACACTGACCACCCCTGGCACATTAAGTCTCAAAGAAAACCACAGAATTAAGTGCTCTCCCTGTGTGGCCGCCATACGTATAACCGAACACCACATGCTGGAGAAAACCCCCCAAAAAAGGTCATCTTGTCACATGAAGGCAGGCAGTGGGACCTGGTCATCAAGTGTCTGGAACTAGAAGTCAGACACTCGACCGTACGAACACCGGTGAAAGTATACAAACGCCTGCTTCTTTCCTTGACAAGCCAGGAGAGTGCGGTTTGGTAGGTTTGTACATATGAACAAGCCGAACAAACGCTACCTATGAGCCACGGGAACCGTTCATCTTTTTGTGCATTTTGGAACTCCTGAAATCGACTGACCGCTGTCACTATCACTCCTCCCCCCAATTAATTTTGTTTAATTACTTTTTTTTCTGTTTTAGTTTATTTTGCTTTGTTTGGTTGTTTTTTTATTTATATTTCCTTCGACTATCAAAGGAAAATAAAAAAGATAAACAAGACATTTTCTACAACTTATACAGAGAGTTTGTTAACTTTTGCAAATACAGAGCCAGCGAGTCTCACTGACTGTTATTTTCTTCAAGTTTACTGAGATTCGCAAATCTTGCAGTGAGCTATGTTATTTTATACGTTTGGTTTCAGAAGTGCTAGTCTCAACATGTATTTTACCCTTGTCTCGATATACTCTCCTATCAAAAATAAAAATTGACTAAAAAAGAACCTCAATTCCATCGAACACCGTTGGGATAAACTGGATGG